CTATAGGCCTTGGGTTTCACTATGAGCGAACGGCAACGGGCACACTTGCCCAATACGGCTAGCCCATTCGTGTGACCCTTAATCAGATATCCACTTAAGCAGTTGCCATCATAAACAAAAGCTTTGCAAAAGCACTGCGGTACTAAGTTAAGGCGCCACAAGAAAACCTACAAACAGAATGCTCAGAATGGTGAAAAAAAGAGGTATTGCATCACTCTCATTTGGTTTGTAGTCTAAACAAAATGGATGCTCCATGCATTAATCCCTTTGATCTTTACTTCTTTCTGAATGTTTCCTGCCAAATTTATCTAGAAAGATCAACATAAAGTCTTATTTGGACGGACGGACGCTCCCGATTGGTGTCCCCAGGGGGCGCCGCCAGACATTTAAGAATTGCACGTACAGATCAACAAAACCTTTGATCAATTTACCCTTATTTTAAAAAATGAATTTGAATATTACGGATAACCTTTCAAAAAAAGGGCCTTGATATCCAACCAATGCAATTTAATCATTCTTAAATTAATATTAATAATACTTTTTGAACCAATTGTAAATTAAATTAAGGATATATATATATATATATATATATATATATATATATAGAGAGAGAGAGAGAGAGAGAGAGAGAGAGAGAGAGAGAGAGAGAGAGAGAGAAAGAGAGAGAGAGAGAGATTTGCAAATTTTGCAGCATGCCGTAAATATGGGCATAAATATCCAACTAATACAACTTTATCATTCATGATCCTTTTTGAGCCAATTTTAAATTGAATTAAGTCAACTTTTTCAAATTGCAATTTTCATTCAGCTTAGTTAGGGGAACGCTAAAATTCATCAGGCTCCACCATATGTTACATCGTCTACGTTTGTACGAGTGGCTGAGTAGCTATTAGAGAACTTAACAACAATGAATGGATGGTTTGCAGAATGTGATACTCTGTTCATGCGTACATGCTGGCTTTGTCAATTGGCGGCAAAACGACTCAAGGCTTATTTGGAGAATATCTGATAAGACAGAAATCATTTGTAGAAAAAAAAGAACACACTGTGCGTACAAGCGAAAGCGTGGCGGCGCGCCTAGGTACCACATTTCTATGTGCTCCTGCACTCAAGCTGTGCTCAAGGTTACAGAAGCCAGCCGAGTAACTAACGGCGCGAATGTGCAGTCCAAGCCAGCTGGTGACAAACAAAGCCTGGTTGTCAATGGAGCGTGTCGATGGAAAGTGGGGCATTAGATTAATAACCAATTAACAAATTAGCACGGATTTTATGGATTTTATGATAACAAATGGGCAAAAGTTGGTGGGTCTGTGCAAAGGTCACTGCATATAACACGTACACTTTTTATATACACCACCAGTTTGGGATATTACTGAAAATACGAATATATGTAAATTGCCATTGCATTTTAGAATGATCTCGCCTAAAACTGAGAACACAAGGGAGGTACGATGCTATGAATGCTGCTCCGATATCGATGTTTATATTATTATTCAAAAATATACATAAATGTATGTTATCAAATATATACGTATAACTGTACATACAGAGTCGACACTTATTATTAAATAGTTCAGTATAAAATGTATGTCTAAGTTTAAAAATTTGTTTTTTTAATGTATTGCTCATACAAGAAACGGGTATACAGGAATGTGTGATAAGGTGTGTCAGTAACAGTTGAACGACTACCTTGTTTGTAACACTGCTGCACTGCGTAATGCGTTGTGATTCTATTGGGTAGTTCTCTTTGGGCTGGTCCTAGTATGACAATGATAGAGTATAGTTCTACCGAAAAAAAAACTCTTCATATTTCGGCAATGCCTGCACAGAAGAAATTGCATACAGGCGGCAGGTTTATGGCGCATGACCTGAGCGTGTCACAGCATTGTTGACACGAATCAGATAAACATTGCTGGACAGCTCACTTTGTCACAACTAACGTTCCGTTAAGTTTCACAATGATATGTCAGAATGATACTGTATTTCTAGGCAGAAACCACTACTAAGGCGTTCAAAACCAACTGCCACGAGACAGGACCAGCTGCTCTTTCGGTTTTGCTAAAACAACGAAACAAAGCCCACCAGTATCCTTCAAAATGACAGTCAGATTCCAGCCAAGAACCGTTTTCCGAGGTCCATGCAGGTTTCTATACCAAGACACCCCAGAAGAAGCCTTGAACAGCGCAACATCGTCGTCTGCAATGAGCAAGGAACCATCAGCACTCCAGCACAACCCGGGACCATACAGTTTTCATTGATGAGGTCATTTTAAACCTGTATCGCCGAGATAGTCGACTTAGAGTTTTCTTACTTCGTACAGAGGCTATCTGACGAAGAGTGTGTCGCGCCTAGAACGACTGGGGCGGAGGGGACATCTGTGTTTGTGGCACAATTCACGATGGTACCAAAACCCCAATGGGATGTCATCGATAAAAACCTGAACTCGGTCAAATACAGGAATATTCAGCGAATATTCTAGTAATCGACTGCCTTTGATTAGCTAGAGGGCATGCAGCTCCGGTATAATTCATTTTGCAAGATAACAACCCCCGTTCACATACAGCAATCGCAGATTACTTGTAGAACCAAGGGACTACTTTGACCATCTAAATCGCCAGACATGAACCCAATTATATAGGGGGAATTTGTGGTCACTAATTACCCAACGAATAAACTGTCTACTGGTCTTACGACAAATCTGAACTAACGCAGACAAGCTCTGACCGATGCATGGGATGGTATACAAACCAAGCTTCAAGAAACGTGTCAGAAAGAATGCCTTGTAGCAACAAAAGAAGGCGAAACGCGACACTGGCCATTTCTTGGACTTGACATTGCTATTCCTGCTCTTTGTGGGGCGTGTCATACGAATCATAATTTGGAAAATGCGGACATCGAAATAATGCATAAAATGACTGTTGTTACATGAAGGACTTGAAATCAGCCATGTACCTTGTAATGCTTTTTTGAGGTATTGATAAAGGCAATTACAGTACTGATGTCACAATGACACGAACAGATTGTTTTGTTATTAAACAGGATTAAAAGCATTGTTTTATTTATTACTCAGAAAATTGGTAAAAAATTAAAAAGAAATGTTTTGGAAAAAAGTATTACATATGATATGTTAATTTTGTACATAAATAAAAAAATAAACTGTTCTTTAAATCACAGCAATAATAATACTTTGATTTAATTTGATTATGACTCAATATCACGCCTGTGACTGCGTGCTATAACGAGTAAATATTTGTTCATACAACTAAGAATAATGAGGTTCGTGAAGCAATAATTGTGTGGTGGGAAATCATTATTGTTACCAAATATTGTCGCTGTTGTTGCCATTGTTTTTGTTTATCGGTTACTTAGTTACCAGCATCGTATTATATTATACAAATATATACAGGGTATATAACCAAGTAATAAAACAGAATGGCGAGAATTCATCATGATTGCTTTTTATTTCCTCTCTACAGCTCACCAGGTGTGCAAATAATTTAAATCACAAATTGAATCAATTATATACTAGCACTCCTTTATGACTAAGATAGAGAAAACTTACGAAAACTGAGAATGCTGAAACATCCTGTATATCATGATATAATTTATCATTAATATAAAACTGACACGAAGCCATACATATTAACGTACCCTGATAATTTCCGTAATGATTACATGCTGTGGAGTAAACGCAAATAAACATAATGCACTTTCATTGAGTGGACACAAAAAGAAATCAAACATCGAAAACAAAATGCGTAAATTATTCACCATCAGCCTGCAATGCTCTCTTAAGTCAGACTGATTAACACTCGCGTCTATAATTGCAATATCTGTTCATACGGGCTAAAATGTAGTTTATTAGAAAAATCAATATGTGTTTGAATGCTTTTTTTTCGGTAACTTAAGTCCTAATACATAAAGACTTGTCGGGTATACAGGCCTAAAGAGCAACGGGATATTACTCAAACCTTACCCAGCGGAGTTTACATGTAAACTAAATTCACTTGAATATAAGGCGAATGACAGCAAATATTAAAAACCTGACAATGTATAAGGTAATCCAATGCTTGTGCTTTTATTGCACCTGTGTTGCAATGTAGCTGTGGATAAATCAACGTGTAAGACAAAGTTTAATAACGGTAGACTTACTGGACAGTTAGCAGACTGAAACATGTCAGTTAGTCAATAATTCAATATACATGCAATTGCAATAAAAGAATCCAAGATAGTGTGAATGAAATCAGGCCTTATCTGTCGTCACTTTGTAATAGCAAAATAATTGAAAAAAAAAGCATTGGAGGTTATACCCAATACCCTTTATTTCATTTTTAAATGGTCATCGGATACGAAAATAACTTCTGTACACCTACATTGTACAATGGTTATAAATAAGAATAAAAATAGGAGAGAGCCTTTTCATTGTAGATAATATCGGTGGGCGAACAATTTTACTTTGGGGTCCATTGATGAAAACTGTCTGTGTAACACATGATAAATTCTGTTTGAGCAAGCATTCTGTTTGTTTCTCGTTTTTTCCATGTAATGACTTTGAATCATTTAAAACCTTATTTCTATCTGACCTTAACTGCAAGATTGATTCCGTTGTGTGTTTTCCCTGCAGTGAAGGAGCTGCAGTGCGTTTCTACTCCAGACGGTAGACCAATCAATCAAGGCGTTCAGAAATAACAAATCATGCAATTCAATTAAGGTGTTTAACATTCAGACCACGTTGAAATCTGAGGAGTGGTTTCAACAAATAAATGATTTTGAGGTCGAAAGTATGGAATAGAAAAAATAGCCAGACAAAAATACCGTAATAGTAAAACCTATAATAGTTTCAGTGTTATCGTCACATTAGATTAAACACCATCTTATAAATACCTTTCCAAACAAAGCAGATTTTGGATCATTACGATATACATCCCAATATCATTTACTGTTTCTGCGATTAAGTTGATTTTTTAAATATTTAGAGTGTAAATGACTTCTCTATTTACCTTTCAATGCAGAGAGCGATCTGGTTCATCACTGAAGCATACCAGCTGAGTACTATACCGTATCTTAACCCCTTGCAGGCAACCACGCCAAGGAGATACCCCTGGTCAATGCTGAACAGGACCGTGTCCGGTATGCCCAAGGCCAAGATGATGAAGTCTGCCACAGCCAGATTAATGATGAATAAGTTGGTAACGGACGCTCGCATCTTCCTATCCGACAACACGCCGTAGATGACCATGAGGTTTCCCGCGATGCCAATGAGGATGAAAATCCAGAGGATGAGAGAGACGAGGATAAGCCCTTCTGTCGAAACCTTATCGTCATTTCGCTCGCCATCATGGTATTCAGTGCTATTGGAACTTATTGTAACGTTGAAAAAGCCTCTAGTATAATTATTCACGAAACCGTCAATTTTGTTTCTTTCTTCTTCAAGGCCCGTGTTATAACTGTTGCTTCTATTGCCCATATTCAGTTACACATGTGAAACCAACAACCGATCACAATGTGTTGGGACATCACAGACTGATAATTGCAAGCACTGTCTGCCGATGCTAAGTGTTGTGAACGCGGAATACCAACTTATATATATATCTATGCGCAGGTAATTTCCATAATGTACCATGCCGGTGAGTCCTGCGATTGGATTTTGATCTGCACTTAGAAATACGCTGGAATTAAAAAGAGTGAGACTGCAATTGCGCAAGACGTTCGGAACATAAAAGTTGTGTGTACTATTTATAGTCTTCTCTGATTTTAAAAAAATGATCTGAGGCGTAATTTGGTAATATAATCACACATCTACGTCAATTTAACGTGTCCCTAATTACACGAACAAAAATCTTTACATACTAATTGCAGTTTTCGCGGGCACTTTGACATAATTAAGTGAATGTCTATATTTTAGAGCAATTTACAGTTTGTGTGGGAATTATTCAAGTGTTTTATTTATGCACACAATGAAAGGGAGTTCTTAGCCATCATGAACTGTGTTAAAGGGCTGCGCCAATGGAAAATAAATGTAGACCTCTTTCCATTCTTGTTTCGACAAACGATTCGAAGGGCTTCTCGCAAAACTTAACGCTCATCATGCAATCAATATATTTAGTTTATCTATAATCCTCTTTCGCATTTAAGTTACAAAGCAATAGTTATTCATCCCTTATGTTCTTGGCGATAAACCCGAACTGAATCTGAAGGATCTACACATAACACCCTTAATATGCCTTCTCACATCGAGCGTTATATCTTAGCGATACAGGTATGGGTTGGGGGTTCTGATATGTAATTGCCCAGCAGGGGCCTTGACTCACTTTTACAAGTTCGCTTCCTGCTGAAATGCGGAGGTTTATTAATGGTTAATATCCTAGATATAGCAAAATCTCTCGACTCTCTAGCATAAAATCAAGCGTGAATTCAAGGGATTTCAAAAAGAACGGGATCAATAAAATGACAATATATGTAAAAACCGACGGAATTTTTCCAAGGATACTTTACTGTTTGGTTATCTTAAGTTATGTAGATTTACATTCTTTTGCACAACAGCACACGGCACGTGTACATTGTTTTACGTGTTCCTTTTGTTTTGGTTTCTAAATAAGCCGCCTTTATCAGCGTATAGAGTTTCATCCTTATTGCCAATAGGTTAGGGTATTCTTGCTCTTTTTATGATCTCTTTTTTTTTAGTCCCACACATTGCCGACAGCTTCGTTTATTTGTATATCTCGGATGATATCCATTGCCTACGTCGAGCGCGGGGGCTTCGTTTAGGTGACTCTCTTAATGCCAATCTGCAGTGTATAAAACATACTTGTACAGGTGTATCGCTTAGATGTAGCGATAGGTGAGGAAAAAGGGTAAATAAACAGAATGGTTATTGTAGGTATAGCTTACACGTGTAGGCATGTGTAGAATGGGTATACAGAAAAAAAACACATGTTTATCTCACTGTTTTCAATCAAGAAACAAAGTTCATGGACCCCTATTCACCATCACCTTCACCTTTTTGAACTTTAGGAACTATTTTTAGTAAAATAATATCTTAATATCTTAACTACCTATTTATTTATTGACTTAATTCATCTTATTCTGTTCATTTTACCAATGTAAAGTCTACTGAACATTTTATATGGATTTTAGACTATTAATAAACATTATTATTATTATTATTATAAAATTTTATTATTATTAAAATAAGACATAATTATAATCTATTTGTTTGATTTGACCATGTAAAAGTTAACGTAAAAGTTTCAGAACTCTTCATTATGCGCAACATTTTAATTGAAATACATATGAAACTGAAAAAAATGATAATAAAATATTAAGTCGATTGATCACTAAATGATCGAACAAATGATGTATCCAGTTACCAGTTACCGGTTCTCTTTGCTAAAATGTTTTAAATAACTTACTACATAGTCGGGTAGTCACTCCCATGCCTATAACAGTTTCTATACCTTAGTGTCTTTGGTTGTTGCTGCTTACCACAGGCCCGTACTAGCTTGCAATTGCAAAAGGGGGGGGGTCTGAAAATGTGGATCTTTTGTCATGAAACCTTGTTTACCTAGATCAAATTTACCCAGAGTGGACCTTTTTCCAGCAAACCCCTAACCATTATAACTCAATGGACAGCGGACTTTATGTTACACGGACCCTCAGATTCGTTACACCTGTGCTAATGTCTAGGTCTACGTCACCTAATTGTGTGTAAATATGTTCAATAACACTGCGCAAGAGTCTGTCCCTTGTATTATCGCATGCAAATGTATGTACAGATGATCTAACTAAATGTTTGTGAGTTTCTGCTTCAAAGGTTGTCAATGGTTTTGAGGAAATTGAGGACAGGGTTTCCCTCCAGAATAGTGCTTCAGATGATTAAATGAAACACGTATGATGAACAGAATATCCAGTGTATGACATATATAGCATATACAGGGTGGTTCATAAAAACGACCGATTTTACTATTATACAGGAAAGTAAAATAGATCATTTTTATGGACCACCCTGTATATTCATTTATAGTATTGTTGGTCTATCTCAATTGGCGATCACGTTATACTAAAACTAATTAATATGGGACACCTTGAGAAGATAACGCAACTGGAAAATGAATAGTTGAGGCCACCATCTTGAATCTAAAAGGCATTTTAATTTCCTCTGTATTCCCAAGAAACAAATCGTGATAATTATTAAAGATACCAATGTATTGCCAAATGAATTTAACTACATAACTCAGTAAATTTTGTTTGAAGTTTCTATAAGATATATGAGTTCACTTTTGATTCCGTGCATGGAAACAATACTAATATTCTACAAAACATTTGAGCTTCCCATTAATAAACAAATAAATTGATGATTATATAAGTCTAGACGTGTATTTTGACAAGATAATTATTATTATGCTAAAAAATTTCTATTTCTATGGTGGTCCAAGAAAATGCATTTCAAACTGAACAAACTTGTTGGTAATTAATTGGGAAATTTTGGTTGTCACCTTGGATTAACATACCATCTTAGATGTGCCTTTAAACAATTGAAACAATCCTCCTATATCAATTTATTGTTAAATAAAAATGACGTATAGGCCTACTTCATTAAATACTTATACATATTATACAGTTTAATAATAATAATATATATATATATATATATATATATATATCCCTTTATATATTTTAAAAATAAGATACACTTTGTTCCTTTGACTCATAATGGTAAGGGGTGTATGGCGACCATATTATTTCTTCTCTAATTATAAAGCCTTTATTCTGCGCATAGCTAGTAAAATGCAGATAGTGTAGTAGAGAATCCAAATTTGATGAAATTTTGCTTTTATCATTTGTTTGACACTTATTCCAAATTAAAGAAAAAATTACTTAATATTGGTGAAATTTTGGTCGACATCTTGGATAAAGAAGCCAATTTGAATTTTAAAATTAACATTAAAATATTGAAACAATATCATAATCATCCATTTTTTCATTCGTATTTCTAGCCTTGACTCCCTTAATAGAGGCAGTTCAACTAAATTTTCAAGATATAATTAACACAAATACTAGCGAGTACATGTTAAACATGCTTTTATTTTACACACTTGAGAATATTTCGACATTGAAACTTAAATAAAACGTGCCGCCGCACATTTCGCAGGGGATTTAGCTTTAAAGCGGGTTTATCTATAGTGACAGCTAAACCCTTCAAATAGTAAGAATATGAACTAAGATGGTAAGAACAAGAGCGTCGTGTTGCGCTTTACGTTGTGTGCAGAACATTTTGACGAAAAAGTTTCTTCTTCGACGTCTAAAACCCCAATTACACTGGACGGCGTCCTTTCTGCGTCCTTTGTGCGACCATGAAACTGGCCAGGTCGCCGTTGGACGCACAAAGAACGTTCAAGCATCGCCGATGATGCCATGCTCGTCGCGAATTTTTGAACATGTTCAAAACAATCGCAGAGAGAACGCGATGGAGGATGGACGCTGTAAGGTCGCTCAAGGGACGCAGAGAGGACACACAAGCAGCGTTGTGGTCGTAGAGAGAAAGGCACAAGCATCGCTTTGTTTGCAGAATGAATGCTCTATGATCGGCCAGTTGTCGGCACGTGATGGGAAAATCAAGATTCGGTCGTTCGGACGCAGACGCCTGTACACTGAGACACGTTTTAATTGCTTTGGCGACCGTTGAGCGTCCTGCCCACATTTTTGATCGCAGAAAGGACGCCGGCCAGTGTTAAGGGGGCTTAGGTTTCAAGGTGAGCAGCGTCTAATGCACGTGACCCATAATGCAAAAAATTACTCTTACTACGGATGTTATCAGGATCGGATTACTCTAATGTTATACAAACAAATTAATTCTCAAGGCTGGGCGTTGTAAACTTACAGAGTAGTGTAAAAACGGCAACTGTTCAGCACACAAAGATCCCCATGAAAACCACCATGTGGCTTTGCACTCACACTGTGAAACATCATTTTTGTCATCTTACCAAAATAGCACGGCTGTAGGCTGAGAAAAATGTTTCGGGGCAGCTGTTGAGGTCGACAATGTATGCACGAAGGTTATTTGCACCGTAGTGAGTACTCGTGTAGACGCTTACTGAAGGAAAAGTAAAATACTTCTGATGGCCTGGGAGAAAGAAAAACTCGTATCAATTTTAATTCAATTTTTTCAAAAATATCTGTCCCTTTCCTGCGCCCCACAACATACGACCCTTGTTAAAACACCACTGCCCCGCAACAATTATCATTGTTTTCCTAAATTCCATATTCTGCACATGTATACAGTTTACAAGAAATCCAAAGTAATTTGAAATATGTATAAATATAAGTCTGAAAGAAATTGTGGCAGAGTAAAGACCGCGGGTCACAGTTTTCTTTAAAAGAGACTTTTGTACTACCTTTCACGACACCTGTGCTTAGAGTTTTCTGTGATAGCATCAAATTCACTGTACAGTATATGTAGTATACATTTACTTACATACCTACCACTGGCGAAGTATAGTATGTCAATCAGGTTTGGAATGCACAAATCATGACCAGCTGTGACACTTGCGACGATGTATACTTAGAATAGGTTTTGATATTTGTTTTCCTGTCGTTTGATCTCGCATTTGGTATTCAAATGGCTTTTCCTGAAGTTTGAGCCACTGATAATTAAGGCGCTTGTCTGTGCCGCATCCCTTTGTATAAGGTGGCTGGCGTACGACTTGTGAAGTTGTCTGTTTTCTATCTTTTGACGTGGTCGTTTTTATTTAGTCAACATTTCTGTAAGTTAACTTACGGTAGAGGGACTATTAATGAATTTGAATTTATAAAAAATTGATCACGCAGTATGTTTGCATTGAAAAAACAAATCACTTGGCGAACAAATTGGCCAGCTGTTTTAATATTGGGCAGGTTAAAATAAAGACCTGAAATACCTTAGATTTGTAAAGACCAAGCACATAAATGTAACAGAGCAATTAAAGTTTAATCCAATCCAAGTTGTCAGCTAGACAAGTGACATTTTCTTTCCAAACTTATTGCGTCAACTGAAATGACTAAAAGGAAACGTCAGTGGCAAACATTTTAGTTGGCACTTTAGAGTGTTAGCTGATGGGCCCCAGCCGTAATTAGTTTATTTGGCGCCGAGAATGTCCAATGGTTCTAGCTGATGAAAACGGCAGGATGCTTTCTCTTTTCATTATCTAACGAAGTCAGCGATCATATACCTTCCAAATGTCAGACCTCGTAAGACTGCTCTTTCAATTGCCAAGTTTACAATCATATGCAGGGTGCCATTGAACGAATAATATTATGTTATTATGAACAGGTAACAAAGAAACACAGTTTACTGCACATTGATCGATTTCCAAAGGAAAACATCCGGTCTCTAGTGGCCTAATCGAACAATATCCAATCGATATATCCAAAAAGAAAAAACACTGTCGTAAATAAGTCATTAGGTTAAAAAGCCAACCTGTCGAACCTGTCGGTTAGAAATAGGTGCAACCAAGATAAACGTTAATATACTGAGTGAGGTTTACCTACAAATTAGCTTTTGGGATTTCCGGCATCCGTAGAATTCTAATTCTTTTATTCGTTAATATCTTAATTTCTAGATGATTAGAAAATGTTTTTTTAGGATCAATTAAGTTGGCAATCCTAACAAATCTGTCAGCACATGACGCACAGACGAAATTCTCGATACGGTGTTTGGTTCAAAACGTGCCATTTCTCAAATGGGATTCTTTCTTCAAACATGACCAGGTACATGTGTTTGGCTTTATTTCTGAAGTAATATCCATCCTAAAATCGTTCATCAGTGAGAAACGCGACAAGAAATATTAAAACCATCTTGATGTCAGGGGAACGGAATGACAAATGAAACATGTTGCAGTGATAATGAATCCCAGAGGAACCAACTGGATCATTATTGAATTTATTAATATATTGTATGGGAAGATAAGGAGATCGCACGTTACCATTTAACTGCGTGTATATATTCAAATTAACAATGTGTCGTCTCGGATATTGGAATTAATTTATCTGCGTGGTTAAATCTCAAATTATAAAGGGATTATATGAAGCAATCATCCCATTAAAGGTGATTTCTTATCTTATCTCGGACTCAGAAAATTTAATATAGGGCCGTCCACATGATCCGGACTATGAAAAACCTGAAGATAATGAACTGGCCTCACGGACTTTGCTGTATAGGGGCACTCACCCTAATGGCTCCTAAATATTTCAAAATCCATTTGAATCGACCTGGTCGGATGGTAACGTCAACTTTGTCTTGACAACAAACACGAGAGTGTGTTCTGCACCTTAACTGAGCGTGTGAAATAGCACGTTTCCAAATCCCGCTTGAAAGAACATCTATAGTCGGGTCTTTTGTTTTTTCCTTTGCTTTTTCTAGAAAAAAACTTTGACTCGATAGTTAAATCCGTTTCCCTGATTCTCGTAATGTACATGTAATAGTAACAAGCTGCTCTTGCCGGGTGGCTCATCGTGGGATATCAAACGCGCCTCATCCTTCAAACATGTCTAATTTGCGTCCTACATGGCAGATAAACAAGCGATTCTTTTCAATTATTGTATCTGTTTTACACAGTGTAATTCCCATATTCCCTGCTGTTGCTGGAGTAATTTCACGGTTTTATGGCTATATACATCCCTAGATTCTTCACAAACAATTCTACACGATATTGATGTTTTCATCGGTACTAAAACATCGCAGAAGATGCAATTCCTCTTACTATGTCTACATATTCATGTTGATACCAGTAAATTATTTCATACGACACCATTTAGCAATTTATTAATGTAACTGTCAGAGCAGAATTGTTAAGATAGTGGTAAAAAAACAGTGATGGTTATTCTTACGTCACACTACACCTATTTCCTAGGGTTAAGGGAGAGATGCGTGCACATGACAACGAGTTTACATAAGTAAGTTCCAAAGTACCTGTATGACCTCGCAGAAAAATATTGTCACAATCGAAATATTGGTAGGGATTTCTTTTTCGGTGAATTGATTTATTGATATATCCACTTTAATCTCACCCCTGGTGCCATTATATCATCAAATCATATATCATAATATTAACTGTGGCATCATCGTGTCATACAGGTCAGACGTGAAGGACCCCGGCGCCACGGAGCATCTAAATAATGTAAAAAGACTGTATACTAGTGATTCTTCTTTATAGGGTACCGCTGTTTTCCTGCTTTATGAAAGTCTGTATTTCTAGAGCAAAAAGAGCAGATTTTCGTTCCATCATTCCTACCTGTCAGTCCATACCGTATCAGTGCTTTTAATGGGAATACCGTGTTATCATTAGCACGTGTAATAAGTGCCTGTGCACCGCTTTGAAATGAAATCGGAAAACAATATTGCTTTGTTATCATTATATATGATTGTCAGTGTTTCTCAGCGTTCCTTTTGAAATGTCCGCATTTGAGATATTCTAGCCAGTGATATTATAAAATGCACAACTCATGCATTGTGTGGGTTGAGTTCTCTTCGATGTTCTCAAAGGTGTTTCGTCTTTTAGGCATACTTTTGAATCTCTCTGTTGCAAATTTTAAGGACAGGCTTAACCTAAAGGGGAGGGCAAAAAGTTTCATCATAATTATATTCTGGCCGAATGCTTTTGTATACTACATGTAGTACATGTACCATTTTTGTGTGAATAAGTTGTTTCTGGTGTCAGGTAAAATGACACCAACTAACTATGGATAAAACATTTTATCCAGTTCTGAAACAAGACTACCTTAATAATTTGTTTCGGAAACTTGCAGTTTTTACTGCAAAAGACTTTCCTCCGTGTACTTGATCCCCTTTCAATCTAGCTGTTGTGCACTCTAACAACCACAGAGACCAAATCTTCAGCAATTACAAGATTTCCACACTGTTCTCACTCGACTAGTTTCTACACTTAGAACAATACCAGGGATCCTTCTTGTCACATATTGAAAGTACTCTTCACGCACTACATTGTGAATATATTAGCATGTATTTTGCCCCCAGAATCCTAATGTCCATTTATCTTATTGTTTTGCCATCTTTTTGACACCTCATTTCCTCATAACAAGATTGTACATGGAAAATATGTTTATTAATGAGTTCCCAGTGACACCGAAAGACATTGATTTCAATCGCAATATAAGTGTTCTCTCTGATTAAGTTGCATAACGGATAATATTTTAGTCAAAAATAAAGACAAATGAATTGAATATAATAATTGGCATGATTTCATTTGTTCTTGTCAGATGTAAATATTGAGCACTAAGATGCTCAGTTGTTTATGAAAGCAAAACTGTTTGCTGTTATAACATATTAATCAATCCCTTCCAAATTATCAGAGCTATTTCACTATCCCCCAAGTAGTATAATATAATATAATTACAAGTAAGTAATAAGGATAACACTAGTAAAATAGTTTTTAAACATTCCTAGAAAGTTAGTTTTAACTGAATTAAAATCTTTTTCCTTCGAGGCCAGTAACAGAAGTCTATCGCATTGCATTAGTAGAGGTCATACCTGCAAGTACGTCACAACTAACACAACAGCAATTGCTGTCTGGTAACCTATATCGATGAACAGTTATGTCTATAAAAAACACTAAAAAGATTTCCCTCAATTAAGTTCCATGCAGAAATATCCTAGGATTACCTTAGTTAGCACCATCATTGCATTGAAATGAAACGAGATTGTCCAGGAGAATCAGAATCGGGGAAAAATTATCCCTCTGAAGCTGCCTCTTGTATACACGCCATTGGCATTAAAATTAACGGCTATGGTCCATAGTAATTCTATTAGATCTTTCTAAGTATCCTTATCAGTTCTGATTCGTTGTTAACTATCATGGCTAATCTATTTTTCAGCGTTGTGAATTCCCGCGTTGGAGCATTTGCAAGGAGATTAAAGCCTTCCAAGAAAAAATCTTGCAAATTACGAGTCGAAATGCTCTGCAAGAGGTCCGTTAACATGATAAGAAAGCACGTCTCAAGATGGTCTCGTTGCCATCGCGGAGACGTGTCAACGTCACAGTCAAAGCTGTTAAACAACACCGCCTTAAAATGGTAGGAGCTGAGTCCGTGTAAAGTTTTTTCGCGCCTGAACATTGCTTTGATTATTTTGAAAGCTTTGATTCTGGTACCCCTGTCTGCGAGCTCCATCGTTTTCATCACTCTCTGTTCTTTTTCGTGATGACAGTACCTCCATAAGAGCTCGGAACCAGGGTACTCGTCATACCAGTACGTTCTCGTTACAAGATAATCGAAAGGCGGATTAGCGTTGTTTCCTTTTAATACGATCGTCGGGATGATGTTCAGTTTGATAGTAGATTTCACCATCAGGGCGACCCTTGCTTTCCCTTGTGGTTCATCCTCAAAGGGGATGAGAGTAATATTTGGTATCTCTATTGGATACTTTAAAGCGTGTTCAATCACTTTGTAAACACTCTTGTCTACTCTGATAGGGGAGAGGTGCTTCCTGTCATGTTCGTTCCTACCGTACCTGTACTTGTCAGGTGCGTTGGGAGGGTTTTTCGGAGTCCTGGGGATTATCACACGCATATAACCAGGCTCCATTAAATCGGTAGTACATTTCCCTTCATCGAAAGGAAGAAATACATCAACTTCTTTCGCGGAAATCACCTGTGTTCCGTCAAACACACTCCCACCATAAATAACACTTTTGGCAAACTTGATGTCGAACTTGTTGGTCCGCATGCGAGGAAGTAAGGTGTCGATGACTTTCTGTGCCCGTTTTCGTAGTGTCACTAATTTTCCCTCAGGAATAACCGCCACGTTATGATAATATGACTCCAAATGATCCGTGAGAGGCGTAGACGGAGGTAACATAGTTTTTTCTTGTCCTAACCTCGGCAGTTTTAAAAATGGTCTAGAGTTTAGCTGTGATCCACTCTGTCTTACATCGGCTGCCATTGAAACCAGTGACTTTTTTCCGACTTGCTATTAACTCACGTAACTGCTAGTTCCTCTCGGCAGGAGACCACTGTTTATATGCCTCGTACAAAGTTTAGAATATCACCAACTGCCTGTCAAGTCCCGCCCCAGACCACTTCTGTCTCAAAAGTAGGCTTTGGCGATACTCGTAGGTCATACTGTGATAATTTGAAATCCCCCTGTTCAGTGATAAAGTAAAAATCTGTACGTGTAGTTTCGTTGCTGTGGTCTCTTTCACGTGGGGGTAAACAATCAAACGCCACTATTTACGCCCCGGACCTTGTTCACCCCGTGCTTTTTCACTTTGCTTATAGCTATTAAACACACAGCGGTCTACTTACTGAGCAAACACCCCCTTTTATGCCGTTAATAAAAGGTGAATATCAAGCATAACCTGTATTTCTCAACAATTTTAATACAACTATTCAGAACACGATGTTTGTGTAGCATTCATACACCGGCGTCGCCTTTATTCGAAAATGTTAATATATCAGAAAGAGCACGAACAACATTAAGACTAAAATACGTTTTAAAAAAGTTGTTTATTTCGTGTGTGCCATTTAAGAACAAAGGGTTATTACGCCAAGCATATTGCACCGCTGTGTAAACGACTTGATTTAGATGAGCTTCGGGGCTCACGTAATGTGCTTAACTACTAAAACTTTTGTTGTTCCGACATATTTACTCTGCATTATTAGTCCCACGAAGAGCCATGAAGCGTGTGCCTATATACAGAGTAACAGTTAATAAGTTGCAATATGTTAACTTTGGTCACTCAAGCCTCTCTGACAGACTGAAATCAGATTCTTTCTTTCTTTAACATTTACAAAATATGGCTATTTATTCATGATGATTTTCAAAATTCTTTCAAGTAAATAGGTAAACAGGTGAAGAAAATAGTACGTCATCGAAACCACTTAAACAGTGCACAGTACCGCAACATTTTTTTATCATAGTTTACACATCGAATCACTACCATGCTTTTACATTGAACATACCGTCGGAATTTACCATAACAACACACTACCAAAGTTAAATTTTTCACATCAAATAAACATTGTAACACCCGGATATTTAATATACCAAACGGATTAGACTTTCCCAACATTTCGATAACCATAAAAAGTGTATCTCATGTCATCCATTAGCACCACATTCTGATTCATATTTATCAATGAATGATTTAAACAGCCAGTCAAAAATTAGAATCCACTCAAATTAAGGATATTCAGATATTCAGGATATTCAGACAAAATATACAGCAATAGTCTATACTTTAAAGGTCCATATAATAACATCAACATTCAATACTCTAAACTAACTAGTGTAATGACATTTTACGAAAATTTTCTCTTGGCTTAAGCCTAGGGAGCAGTTAAGTGCATTGTTTGTATTTTTACTTTGCACACAAAAGCAAAGCTAGTGTTTTCATTAAATGATATCCCGCTAATGAGACATAAGTAGAAACTGCATTTTAACAATAAATAGGAATATTCAAGATGACAGAAGCTCACGATGCGTCACTTTAACTACAACTTTATAGCTACCTTTATCGTAAGATGTCAAATAGATAATGAATAAGTATACATCAAAGATAAGGGTATATCTCCCAAGCATTTTGTTTCATACACGATTACAGTTACAGAGGCACAAATTTAAATGATTGTGTTAGGTGTGCAGTGAACACAATTCACACGTTGCCTGTAACAAGCACCGGAGCCTCAGCGCTGGTATGTAACGTCTTCAGACTGTACCGCGAGGTGCGGGAGGTTCTCCTAGAAGATTGATCCCTAGGGCGACACGTAGATTTACGGGGGTTCAGTAAGCGAAGACAGCAAACCAAGGCCTTGAGACGTCTTCTAAATTTCTGACTAAATATACTGTACAGGATGGGGTTGACCGCTGAGTTTATGTACCCCATCGAAATCACGAACACCCTGAAGGACCAGGTGAAGTGGAAAGGCACAGACGCAAAGGTGTTGTAAAACAGCAGTACCTGTATTGGAGAGTAGCAGATGAAGTAGACAATAACGCAGGCTATGAGCATCTTCACGACACCTCTGCGTGCTTTCACTGCCACGTGCGTGTTGGGTTTCTCCGAGCCATCACGTGTGCTTACTGGTTTATGGTGCAGCGTCGCGGAATTCAGAAATAGGCGTTTCCCTATGATGGTATAGAGAACTAGCTGTGCGATCATGGGGACTAAGAAAAGAAAGCCGAACTCGGCGTACTTGAAGATGCTTTTTAATAAGAGCGAGGGGTATACCCCCCGGCAGAATTTCACATACGGGTTAGGCCCCACCACTTGGTTGTACAACAGTATGGGGACGCCGAAGGCGCACGCCAGGGTCCAGATTACGCCGATGGCGACGCAGACGCGGGAACGACTGCAGACGATGTGGGCTTGGATTGGGTGAACTATCGCCACGTATCTGAAAATACAGATAGAACTGTGTTAATTTGACAGTGGCTCGCAATCTGTTTACTTCCTGAAAATTAGATCGATCATTTTATCTTCATTTTGTCTCCAACTCCGTGAAAGCCTTTTTGTTTGACGTAATATCTTTATTAGGACCTTGCAGTGCAAATTCTCGCAGAATCGATATTCGCGATTCCCTTATATTGAAACTAGATAAAAAAATTCCTTTCAGCATGAAGATGATATTTTCGGGACATGTTATTGATGCCTGAGCGTAAAAGGTCTCTCTGATTCATTAATTTAATGGTTTCGAAATGCATTTTTCGTGTAAATCTAGGCTTTTGGCGGTCCGTCAATTTTAGACTGATTACTCCGTTTCTTGATAGTGTACACCGTGCATTGCGGTTCGGCTTTCTCATGCTTCGTTCGGTGCACCCAGTAGATCCCACGCTGCCTGCTCTTTGGGTTGGTGTTACACTGCGGTTACGGTATACTTGGCGTCTCCCGGAAACTTCACTCGAAACTACCCTGGATACTCGTTCAAATACTCGACTCTTATGTAGAATTGAAAAAGATAATGTTAAGTAGATGTAGACTGGCTTAAAGATACAAAGGAATGCATTTCATGTTTGTTACGGTCTTGCTGTATCGAATTAGAAAAAAAGAAAATGGTGCTGTGGAATTAGTAACATAGTCTGTTATTTCAAAGTTTTACGCGTATTTTTCTAACAGTTATTTGTAGATAATTTTTTAAGAGGTGGAAAATTTGTCCGCTTAGCTCTTGAGCTTAATAAGATTTCGCTTTTTGTTACACGTTAATGAAACTTTTCTTTCCGCGTATCAATCGGTGTAAGATTAGAATTATTTCCACAAACGTGATAAGTTTGTTTAATTAATTTAAGCAACTCCGGGAATACAGCAGCTGGAAGTTCTCTATTTTTAGCGGTAATTCGAAGCCATGATTAGTGATTTTTTGTTTGCGAAAAGATGTGCGAGCTGACATTCAAAAATTTTGGTCACATTAAGTCAACGGTGCCCTCTCTGCGTTTTTGTATTCGGCATTAGTATTTGGGTAGGGTACATAGAGAATGATATCAAACATGGAAAATCTTCCCCAGCCCGCATAACATCAACTGAAATCACTGTTTTCGAGTGTCTCGTTCAAATCCAAGCGAAGTATGAACTTTTTCCGCAAATTTTTACCATTAAATGAGGTGCGGGGAAAGGAAAGGCCCGCAGTTCAAAGGGGCCCAGTATTTTTTTTACGTTTTATACGTGGCTATCTTATTTCTCAGGAATTCAATTTATGTTTTTCGTAATTGTTTATACTATACGTAAGCCCTTTTCCTTGATTTCATTGCAAATTCGCTGTCCTCATTTTACTTATTTACAGTGTATGTAATTCATGTTGTACTGTCCCTCTATTTCCATGTTTTATACTTTTTGTACATTTGCTCTGGTATCTATAGTCTCTTGATATCATTTTCTGTGTCTTGGTCAGATATTAAACAAACAAACAAACAAACAAACCAATCAAGTAAAACTATATTCTTTACCTCTTTGTTTACTCTTGTGTTTTTTAGCCACGAGCATGCAGTACTTGTATATATGTATAAAATTATTTTAAATAGTGATCACGAGTTGTTTTTTTTCCCTCAATTCACATTGTATTTTTAAAATGTCTACATTAAAAACAAGATGACCATATTAGGGGGTAGAGAAATACGGTGAGAAGCGAACAAGATGCTTTCAAAGGGTAGAAGCACAACTTAATTTTGGTTTGATATTCGATCCGTAGTCTCCCTCTATAACTAGTTATGTCGAACTTATATCCAGCACTTACCAGTATGGTTTAGAGACCAGGGAGAGGGCTATGAAGATAAACTGTTTAAGCAATGTTTTTCGTGTTACTTGAACTGTTTTTACTTGGGCATTTTAACCCATTATTCTCTGTATATGTAGATTAAAGTTACTACAAGCCATTAGGAACTTCAAACCTTAATCTTTCCGACATCTGTACTTACATACCATCTAGGCCCATCCATGAAAAATAAGGGAAGTATTTCCAGGGCCCTATGAAGAGAAACCTCTCCTAATTGAAAATCGTTAAATTGGGGTTGGAGAGAGAGAGAGAGAGAGAGAGAGAGAGAATTACGCTGAGCATTTCCCCAAACTTGCAAAATATCTCAAATGGAAAGTGTAGTCCTTATCTAAACTATATTTTCAACCAATACATTCTTTTCTTATTTCCAACAGCCCCTTACCGGTGTCTTACCTTTCTACACAAACTGCGAGCAGCGTCAGGATGGACGCAGTTAGCGATGTCACCAGAAGTCCCCGCTGTAGTTTGCACAGTACCTCGTCCAGCAACCAGCCCTGGTTTAACATGAACATTACAATATCTGGAACCCCAAGTAACATGATCAACAGATCAGCTATAGCTAAGTTTGTGATGAAAAGGTTTGTCGCAGACGAACGCATCTGGTAGTTACTGAGAACGACATAGATGACCATGAAGTTACCAGTGACCCCTACGGACACAATGAAAAACCAGAGGAACGATAAAACAACGACGATTTCTTTAGAGGCAGGACCGTCACGAGGGCCTGCTGTCAAGTTATTCAAAACTGTGAGATCATCTGTCCAATTCACCGCACTCGTGCAGTTTGAGTCTGTCATCTCCAACATCTTTTGAAGAGGAAAAAAATCAGACACCCGCGTCAACTTCTACGAACGTAAAACGAGAAGTGGCTCGATCGTTTCTTCTTTCCTTGTTAGCTCGGTCTTTCACGAATGTTGGCAGTTCGTTCGTCCGTACAAATTACGTGCACATATATATATTGAGTGCATCTCTGGCGGAGTAGAAATAAACATCATCCTCCTATCCGAAGGTTAAGACCAACTTGTGATCAATAAAGACAAGTGGCGTTTCGCTGTTACTTAAACAAATCTCCTTTGGGAGGATGCCCACCATGACAACTTCCAGGTAAAAATTAATGAAAGATTAATATATTTTAGACTGAGAAATGGGCCAATTACGCTTTAAACGAGTAAAAAGCGTGTTATTGCTCCAAGGCAGGTATCCATTTAGTAAGGTCGGGGAGGCTTTAACATCAAATGTGAACATGATGCACGCTGTGCAGGAACACGAGGATTAATGGATTTCTAATCAATAAACACCAAGGGCGGCAAAGACAACAAACTGACCGTACCCCCGCTGATCAAGACATCGTCGACCGCAAGAATCGACTGCATGGTAGCCAGTCCTATAACGTGCTTACTCTTATGACTGTTGCAGAAGTATATTGAATAATGGCAAACACCCTATATTATTTTCCTCCGATTATGGCAAAAGCTTCAAACTCTCTCTCTCTCTCTCTCTCTCTCAGTTAACCATAAACGCAGCAAATTCTTAAGCTCTTAGAATTGTAGGAACTAGGATCTGCTCTATGTCAAACAATAGACTTGCTCTCCGAAAACGTCATCGAAAAACCCCTATCTTGAAAAAACGGCTTTCGCAGATTTTTTTCATAAAAGAGTCTCCGCTAACACATCCAGTAATATACCCATACCCGAGAAGTCACGTGACATTGGTGGATCTAGGATATTACTAAAGGAGAGAGAAGGGGGGCACAAGGACAAAAAGGATAATGTTACCACATTACTTTGGGTAGAGGGATAGAAAAATCGCTTGGATTTGTCTCTTTTCGCTTCTTGTACATTTGGGGGGAGGGGGGTAGAAGATGAGTAAACTATACATATATTTTTCGAAAGTAATAACATGAAACATTTTCAAGCACAATGAGCTTAGATTTAACTAGTAAACAGTTCTCGTTCATAACATAAGTACATTTGATGGATTCCAATGATATATTGTTCATGCCTCCTCTATTCTAATATTATTGTAGGGGTCTTTTCAGAGCACCATAAAAACTAATCATTTCAAGGAAGCTTAATATAAAGACAAACATGAACATGTGATAAAAAACTTAGTCCCCTCAACAAATATCTTTTATATACCCAGAGCATGTTCTAGTATCTCAAACATAATGTTATCTCAGACACATTTCTATGTTTGAATCTTAAAGGTATCCACACACTTTTTGGAGGGGGAGAAGGGCTCACACAAAAGTATAATATTTGCTGTACCGACCCAATGTTGAGTATTCTGAATATTCTGAATATTAATAGAACAAGAGGCAGGCGTTTACGATCGATTCCGTGACGACGGATAATCCCCGTCACCTTTAGACACGTGACCCATACGGGGGTTGTTTATCTGCTCCTTTCATGTTCGCGTGTATTCGGGTCAAACAATATACAGGTAAATTTTTGTTTAAATATGATCATTATAAGCGAACCTTAGAATACCATTATATATTCACCTCTAATAGAAACTGTAGATAGATTTTGAGACAACATCGCGTATTTGATACATTAGAACCTCATGTTCGATTCGCTTCTCATTTCCGTAAACACAATAATGGCTGATTTGGTTGAAGCTTTTGTTATTGTTACACGCGTATCTCAGTGCTGATTAGTGTAGTTCTAAAGAAGCAAATAATGGTGATTATGTAGAATGATTGGAGTTGATGAGATTATATCAATTTACCGAAGAAGATCTGTTAAATAAAAAGTACATGTACAGGTCTCAGCTACTTTCGTTTTCGATTCCTTCGTAACCTGAAGGTCGCCGTGTTTGTTGTGATCTCTGGGGGCTTTTTCAACCTCTTATCATGGAAGTTACATTTGTTATACTGGAGCATGTTATTATTTAATTTTGTGAATATTAATAAATATAGTTGTCGATGGGAATACGAATCAATGAAGTACATGTATGTGTAGCGTAAACGTTAGTATAGTGGCGTTATTCCTAAACTATGTTTACTCATTTTTAATTCAGGTTTATGCATTGATACCATTCAGCGCAATCAAATAAATGTAAAGTCGCAATGGGAAATGAAGCATCGACATCACGTCTTCTCCATAATTTGGAGGAGTTTGAACAGGAGCTTGAACGAGACCAAGTTTCTAAGTCCAACCAACCACTAAAGGTGCAACATGGCTGGGATTCCAAGGACTGCTCCGACAATATGACAGTGCTAGATGACGGTTTGAAGGTAGGATTCAAGGATCACCAGAAAAATCTACTCACCTTTAAGTTTCTGATCTATCCTGAACATTTCATCAAAATACAATAATGTTTTAGTTTGGCTGTTGACAAACAAACAAACAAACAAACGTAGGTGAATACATAATCTCCTTGGAGGGGGGGAGGGGGCTAAAAGCCATTATCAATCCCTGTGCCGTGCATTTTATAATCTCCATCAACTATAGATGCAAAAAGGCCGAGTGACCTTATTTAAAAGTTTTATCTTTGTAACTTTTCTTAAGTAAAATCCCGTATCTGCTAGTGATTTGTTTCAATTTCAAACTAGACTTCTTATAACCAAAAAAGGGGAAGGGCGGGGATTATCATTTTATTATTATTTCACTATTTATTAAAGAATCGTTAAAACCTTTATGTTTTCTTTATTCATCAAAGTTGTAAAATCATACATTGTACCTATTTCACAGGTGCGTAGAAATAAATCTTTACAGCCTAGGACGGATGCCGTTAGGGGCAAGAGAGGCTATGGTCAAGGGATACATATCTGGAAGATTCACTGGCCCCAGTCAATGAGAGGCAGCAATGCTGTTATTGGTGTAGCTACCTATCAGGCCCCTCTGACTTGCATTGGTGAGTTTGGTTGGATGAATGACACGAAAAAATTCACCTAGACCTATACATGTAGGCCTACATAGGGGAGACCGAGGTTAGTTGGACCCCGGGGTAAGTTGGACCCCATCAATTTATGACAAAGTAACTATGGGGTAAAAGAATTGACTACATCACTTTCATGATTTTGTAAAATGACCGTATCCAATAGTGCTAAGAAAGCGTCGGCAGTGAGTCCAAATGAAATAATTTAGCATCTGAAAGTAACTTTATTAAAGAGACTTGATGGGTGGGGGGGGGGGGGTCAACTTACCCCGGGGTCCAACTAGCCCAGGTCTCCCCTAAACTATGTCTTAAAATAAAACAACCTTATATTTTTGAGGTATAACAAGTGCGACTAATGAACTTTCGTGGCATTTTTTCTAGAGTTTAAACTGGTATAATATTGTTATATAATAATGTCAAGCCCGTAGCCAGGGGGGGGTTCGGGGGTTCGAAACCGCCCCTTTTGCTAGGAAAAGGTCCACTCTCGGTAAAATTTGTTCTAGGTTCATGAAGCTTTTATGGAAAAAGGTCCACTTTTTCAGAAAAAGAACCCCCCTTTTAAAATGGTTGGCTACGGGCCTGAATGTTGAGTTATATACACATGTATATAGCTTTTTGTTTGTGTATATATATATATATATATGTAAATGTATAACGTTATGTATACATAATGTTAAAAATCAGATTACTGTGATGTTGATAAGAAGAATCAATTAATGTCGCAAAGTTTTTAAAAATTATAAAATGTATAATTTGGCCTCCTTAAATTGCATATTGGTGATCTGTTTCAAGTGCTTCTAATCTTATCATTCTCTCGAAGGTTATTCGTCTTTGATTGGTTCCAATGATCAGTCCATGGGGTGGGATATAGTCCGCAATGTTCTTCTCTTCAATGACTGCGTCATCAGAAAGTACCCGGATGATGTACCTGATGAATTTGTTGCTCCTGATGTCATCACTGTAATTCTCAATATGGACTCGGGGACTCTTGGCTTTAAGAGTGATGGAAAAAATTACGGAGTGGCATTGAAGGGTCTTCGCTTACTGGGGAAAAAACTTTACCCTGCAATAAGTGCAACATATGGCAACTGTGAAGTGGGTATCGAGTATATCAGAAGTATATCAGGTAAATGCTGGGCTCAGAGGAACTTTTACTTGAAATAATTTGAAAAATATCGTTTGCTTTACTTTTTGGTAAAATATTACAAAAATTCATCTTACAAAAAAATGATAACATTAAATAAATAATTGATGAAAAAAGCCACAGAAAAGTATCACAATAGGCCACCAGTGCATTGTTACTAGCTCATTGTTGAAAGATAAGACTGCTTTATTTTGCAACCTGTCTTGAACAAAATCGTGCATGAGTAGTATGCGGAATGCACGATATTTCCACCTCATACTCTCCGCACAGATTAATAAGCCTATTTTGTTTCTTTTTATCCATGTAAGACGCAGCACCTGCACCCGGCCTCCCGTCTCCTTCAAGGCCCACTGAAAGACCAAGTGCAAGAGGTACGCTCTGTAACCTGAATACAATCATTGCACCTTAAATCCTAGAATAAATGTTGAATATCGTTCTCATTCAGGATATTTTATTTTCTTTATTAATAGACAGATCAAATACTTTTGATGCAAACTAAATCTGGCTATTTCTTTCAGATCAGGGAAGACCACAGGCAAAACCATGTCCTCCGACTGCCCCTCTGAAATTCAAAAAGCAATGTGGCGAAAATATCGAATTGTCAAATGACAGCATTCAAGCGGAGAGATCAAAGTACGTTTTAATCAATTATTCACTTTTCAAAGCAGAAAATAGAAAATGAAAAAAAAAACTTATTTATTTTTATAGTAGAGAATTCACTGCAATTAAAAAAAATCTAACTACAGATATTTTATCGACGGTAGGGGTTTTACATGTATGTATTGTATTTTATTGCTGATATAGTGCAAATTCCCCTTGGGATGTTAAAACGTCTTCATTTTGATTGTTTTATACAATATCTATTTGCTTCGTATTTTAAGAATATTCTACTGTATATGACGTGAACCAATAAAAATGAAAAACCAAATGCCACGCATTATTACAACAACATTGTGTACTTGCTCAAATCCCATTTCAGTTTTATGTCTGAATCAGACAAAGCAGTTGTTTTGACTTCGAGAAGTCTACAACCGAATGAAAAGTTTGAAATATGTGTAAAGAGAACCCTGGATAAATGGGCAGAGGGTCTAGCGATCGGAGTTGTGGCTCTGGAAGCAGGATTCGAGATTCCGAGAAGTCTCCCTGGACAAGCCGCAGATATAGCGTGGGTCTGGAAAGGCACGGATGTTTTGCATGACCGAAAAACGGAACGGAAATTGGACTTTAACCTTAATTCCGCGAAAGTATGTATTTAAGAATACAAATTTGTTTCGCCTTTGTGAACAAAGGGGTCTCTGCTGGAGCCCAGCCTATCTAGTACTGTTCCTAATGCCTCTATACTAATACTGTATGAAACAAAGTAAAAACGTTTCTCATTTTCCCAATCAACATGAAAATCCCTAGATCGAAAGAGTAAGTCCAGTTGTTAAAATCAAAATTCACAAAGTTTTTATTCCATTGATGAGAAAGGATAAATGTGCAAGTGGTTGATTGTTTATCAATTACACGAGCGACCAATAGATTTTTCGTTAACGCGGTTACCGAAATCCTAATAGTCAGGGAGTTGATTACACTCTTTAGCTCTAATTTCAGATTGGCGACAAATTTGGTGTCATGAGAAAGGAAGATGGTGCATTGCACTTCTTTTATAACGGTCGAGATATGGGAATGGCAGCCACAAATGTTCCTCTCAAAATACACGGAATTGTCGATGTCTGTGGCAGTACTACACACGTAGAATTAGTCGGTAAGCATGCCACATGTATATTGAAAAACGACCAATTAACTTTCTATGTGAATTTTGTCCCGCGGGCTGTTCAACCGGCCGAATAACATTTGTTTGACTGTGTACTAGCATCCTATATCACATTGAACCTAAAAATAAATTCATAATTCTTTTTTGTTTCATATTCAACAGAACAAATGCGAGAGGAAACCACAGAGCCAACAGGTGCCGCTTTCACGGGCATGGCTAGAGAAGAACGGGCCTTCGAAAAAATGAAACAAGCGATCGATCTCTTAAAGAAGAAAGACGAACGTGCTATTCTATCCACTGAACTTATGGTCCTACAACATTTGTACATGTTGTACGCCAAGAATACGGCCCGAAACCTTCGGCAGTTAATGGGTGACAAGCTGGTCCAGTTGAATGCTGCCTTCCATATTACTGAATATATTAAATTTCTTTGTGAGTGCGGGATTGAAAATGATAAAATCTACACGTGTTATGACCTGCTTCTTAATGTTTGTTTGAATTACAGTGATGGCAGTCTGAAGTTTGCCAGGTCCATCGGACAGACGGATCTCCTTGGAATTCTTTCTGCAGAACTTGCCAAGTATCAGAATAGATATATGAGTGAAGAGGTAAGAAAGAAAAACAATTTAATAGCCCCCATTCTATCAGATAAATTGGAAATTGATGTCGTTTTTTGCACGGTTTTGGCTGTGTTTTAAATGTACAAGTTTCACTTTTGAACTAGGTGTCAATTAAGATTGTTCCAGTTGTCTCCAGTTATTCTGAAAATGCAATACATGTTATATTTTTCCTTATAAATGTATATCATACTGAATAAAGCACCATACTTGCTCCTGTAGTAAGATACATTTGTCTAATTATCTTCAAATGGAGATATGCTATTCATTCAAAATTGTTGTTTTCGATCCCAGGGGAAAAGAGGTATTGTTATGACAGCATTTGGAATTCTTCTTAGCTGCTCAAAAGTTACGGAGAACCGAGAGGTGTATTACCGTCTCTGTGTGATCAGCATCGTGGTTCCTTATACGAAGCCAGGGAATGACGAAACAGTCGCAATGACCGCCTTAATGACCTTGTCCTACCTTGTTACTATTGATCAACAACACCTGATCCAAGCAGAGCCATCAGCTATTGCAAACATTCTGAAGAAACTCGACGAAGCACTGAAAAACGCAGAAACCCATCAATCGGACGGTTCCCTTTCTTTCCATGCATATGAAATTGTGGAATCGCTTATAAACCTATCGAAAAGCGCGCAAAATCGCGTGACGATGGTACAAAAAGGAGGCATTCCCCTGTTTGTAAAAATGATGAAAGTCGGTAATCCACAAGAACAGGAACTCGTCCTGAACGCCGTGTGGGAACTTATTAACGGAGGCGACGGGACGCTGTCAACTATCTCTAGAACAGAAGGGCTATTAGACGCAGTGAAGGCTTTAAAGGGCAGCAAAGTCGAAACTGTTCGTCGAGCCGCTGAGAGGATTTCATTGAAGCTTGACACGCAGACTCAAATGTTTTCCCAGAGTTTTGGTAAGATAACAGTTTTTCGTTTAGAAAATTTAAAATCAATCAATCAATCAATCAATCATGGACTGATATATTGGCAATTTAGAGTGAAAGTAATTACATTTTAGACAGGCCATACGGTTTAAAGTTTATTACCTTTCCAGATCCGGCACCCAGACCAAAGTGCACTTACAAAGATATCTGCGACAAATTTGTTGAGACACTCCACATACATGGTAAGATTCCATTAACTAAAAAATATTTTCAAATTCATTTCATTACCGTATTTATAAAAAAAATTATTTTAAACTGTTTTTATTATGATTTTAATAAGAGGTAAAACGAGTACATGTTGCACTCAACTGCTATGTACATGTATTTCCATGCACTGGAATTTTACAGAATCATATTTTGATGCCAAGTATCATCGCTGCTACTGCAACGTTTGTCATAATGAAAGAGGAGACAAACTGTATTATACTCGCGGAAATCCACCCAAGGACTACGGTATTCCAATTGGATGGTACAGGTATGCCCTTAGGTGAGTATAACAACGGCAAATCGGGTTTGGTAACTTAGAAATTTGAATGATTTATATATGTCTGCAACGTCAACCATAAGCAAAATACTGTAAAAATATTATTATTCAAGTAGGGGCCTACATTGTGAAACCGCTGAACTTTTTTGTTTTGTTATGCATTGCTACTGTGGGATATTTTCTGACTATTTGAAGTTATATGTATCAAGTTGCATGTATGAACTGTCTATTTTTTTTTCAATGTGGCACCAGCCTTCCAGCTAAAGCAAAGGCTTTGAACGTTTTGGACAACTGGCACAGGGCATTCCATGGCACTAAGAAACATGTGGTTAGCAAGATACTTGAAGTCGGGGAACTGCTCATTCCAGGTTAGGGAACCGATTGTCTTATGACGTCACGGGACAGGCAACTATATTGCGAATAGCTGAAATTCACGAAACGTGCGATACTTTTGTGTCAGTCTCTAATTGATGTCAACGTCACTTAATTCATTCACTTATTCAAGTGCACATGCGGGACATTTTTCCTTCTTTTTTTTTGGTCCGTACCTGACCTTAAACTCGTGTTTTTTCTTGTAATATTTTTATTAATCTTTTTCGGCATGGGAAAGGGATCATGCCATATTAGAGTAATATAAAAGTTATCAACATTTGTATTTCATGGACTTTAGGGGACGTAGCCTTGGGCGGCGACAAAAAAAGCGACAGGGAAGACCATTTTAAAGAGAACTATAAGCCCGAAGGGTTCGACACCAAGAAAACAGTTTTATCTCCCAGCATCCGTTATGCTGGTCATGACGCTTATGCCATGCCACACAAGTATGTATTCGTGTGGTATTTGTATAAATTGTAAAAAGAGGTAAAAAAACAGGTTACACACAGGTTACACAGGCATATTATTATTACATTAATAATCATGGTTATTATTGGTTTTATTTTTTTAAAGCAAGTTTTGTCAGTTTAGTGAAATGATTAGCGTCAACATAGGTTTCTAATGTTTTACTAAATTGCATTAAGTTTGACATAATTTATCACTAATTGATACAATTAAATATACATTTAATTATTCTGCACTTTAAGAAAATCAATGTACATGTCAACAGAAAGGTTTTGTTGTCCATTATCACGCTATCATTCCAATATTGACCTCCTCTAGAACTGAAAATCATGACCTTTACTTGAGCTATGGAGTGAAAGATGTTTGGTCGATGACCCGCAAACTAAGGTTGGGGAAACCCGCGTCGTAAGTCGACACATCCGGAAACTGCACTTATTCTTTGATTACCAGTAACCGATTCATGGCACATCTATCCAAAGTTTGGTTTAAGTGCATTGATAATTTTGTCGTGATAATTTTATCGGTGTTACTTTTTATACAAAATTAACAGGAGTTTTTAAGTTATACTACATTACCTGATAAAAAATGTTATTTGGCAAAATACAGACTAGGTGCTGTTGAATACAGGATGCAGCATTGATTTAAGTTTTTTAGCGTGTAAAATTCGAGTCGTTTGATAAAATCAGTAAAGTCAGCTTAGGAGAACACTTCCTATTTTCCTGTATGACCAGGTTAAGCTTGCGGAGTCCGTGCACGCTGTAATTAGTGTGGGACCGCGAAACTGTATCTGGGTCTGCTTTGGAGCTCGTACCTGACGTCGTTACTCTCTGCCCAGGGCGTATCTACTGATAACATTAATGAGTGCGAAAGGATATGCAACAGCCATGGGGCAATAAAATGTTTACAATTTGGGTGGAGCTTAGACTAAGGCCCGTTGTCTATTGGTTGATTGGGAAGCCCTGGGTTAAAGGTGTGGACTGAATAGTTAAATGCTGATAGGCGCGGGCTAGGCCACCCTGTAGATTTCGGCAACCCGGAAACTATTCTAGCTCGTTTGAATAAAGCGTTCTCTGAGCGAAAACTGCTTTTACATACCGCAATTGAACGATTTATTGCTGACTCAACAAAACCATCCACGAGGTCAGTGTTTTCATTTTCTGGGAGTTGTTTCAGCTCTTTGGGAATGGGCTGAATCCGTGCTTTCTTCCCTGCAACTAATGATTATGAAAGAAATCTCATATGCAAGAAATGTTACGTCGTATCACATAAATTACGTTATAACACAGGAACATCTAAACGACATTTTAATTTTAGTGGGTTAAAAGGAGCATGGTTCAATATTCTGAATTATGTTTTTTACCTTTTTTAATTTTTGAAACTGGTTTCCTCATAACAAATTAATCATGCATTTTTTCCAAATATTGCAGATTGGAAGTATCAGGAAAAACCTACGTGGCCCGTGTAGCACTTCAAGTGTACATTCGCCCAGGCAGCTATGATGTCGGCGATCAAACTATAGGAGAAACCAAGCCAATCGACCCAAAGTTTGACAATCAGGAAATAGAGTGGTCAACTAAAGAACGTGGAAGTACCATTTTGTATGGTCTGCTGGTGAAGTTGGAGGAACAAGCTTCTTGAAATAGTTCATCTTAACTTCGACGGAGCTGAGAACAATAAAGCTTTTGACTTAAACGGTGTTAAGGTTTTGAATGGTAGGCCTATTTCATTCTGTATACAAATCGATCGGATCATATTGGAAAGTGTCGGTTTCATACCATTTATATATTGTTTTATGTAATGACGTGACATTTGCAGTGGATAGGCCTGAGCCTACTTGCGGTTGATAGTCATTTACTAGTTCCTTGTAGTAAACTTGGCTTTGTAGGTTACAGACATTGGGCGAAGTAATACTATTATTACATGTAATAATGCCGAGAGACTTGCTTCTTGAAGTGGTATTTTGATACAATTACTTTCTGCTATGTGGGCCTATGCGTTACTTACTGAGTTGTATTTCACAAAGGAATTTTTTATGAAGCACTGTAGCACTAGACTTTGTTTCTCCCTGTAGGTGACATCAGGGCCCGGTTTCATCAAGGCTGGATAGCGCTATCCTATGGATAAATATGGCCGCTATCCTCTGGATAGAGCTATCCAGAGGATAATGCGTTTCATCAACAGTGGATAGCGTTATCCAGGGGATAAATCAGCTTATCCAGAGGTTAAAGTTGTCCGCTCGAAATAGGTGGGATAAACCTGCTATCATGCTGTTAAATCATCAAAAATGGCTAACCTGCTTGGTTTGAAAGAAGGCCTAAATGCTTTGATATTTCACAGGCAGAGATTAATTAGAAAGAGAATTTTAAATGCTGTTTGCTTTTGATATGCTTTGAGTGATACTGAATCAATAGATTACATAACAGACTTGATCAAAGTTGACATTGCGCCTGCTACGAACAGAACCCATGCAATCTCCGTGAGATAAATTCTTTTATTTTACTAAAACATACCTTTTAAATCGATGAAAAAACTCTACACTGCTATAACATAACCTGCCAAACTTGCCAAGTCGGCCATTTTGTTAGAAAGTATGTCACGACCTTGCCCTTCAACTGCAAATTGTAAACATTGCATGAGGCACAACTAATGCAATGTGATGTGTTACTGACACTGACACTAAAATATCCTGTAGATATTATTCCCATTATTTAAATGAATGTACCATCTTGAAATATACTTAGAATAATGTTTATTTTGAGTAATTTATATTCCAAATATCGTATAGATCACTTGTTTGTTAGCAACTATCATGGCTTTTATAATGTTTATAGCAACCAAATGCATTATGGGAATGTCTTTTTCTAAATATGGTATTGGATAAATTTTTATCCACTGGATTACTATCATGCTGTTTATCCAGCATTTGTGAAACACAAATTTATACAGAGGATAACTATACAGAGGATAAGAAATTTATACCATGGATAGTGTTATCCATAGGATAGCCTATCCAGCCTTGATGAAACCGGGCCCAGGTCAACAAAAAAATTCAGGGAGGCATTCTCAGTCTTTTCACCTTATCTGCACTGTTGGTAAATAAAGTAGCTCTAAATGTGATACTATTTTTTGTTTTGCTTTTTTGACAGAATTAATAAGAGTTTTTACAGCTGGTTTTTGGCAGCGGGAATCGTGCCATTCTGCAAGTCCACATACAGAACAAGATTAAATCATTGCGATAGTTGAGCATCAGATTGCAAAGCGAATTGTATCGCGTTTTGGTTATGAAAGGTCAATTTTTAAAATGGTGTGGATGCGAAACACACTGATGAAGGGCTCCAAAATATTTTAAGATCTACCCCTATCTTGAAAACACAGCTTTCGCAGTTTATTTCATAAAAAAATCTCCGCTAACAAATCCAATAATATACCCATAAGCATTGGTGGATGTAGGATTTTACTTAAGGAGACAAGGGCGGGGGAACAAGGACAGAAAGGATAATTTTATCACATCACGTTGGGTACAGGGATTTGTCTTTTTTCTCTTCTTGTAGGCTATATTTGGGGGGGGGGAGAAAAACTGAGAAAATTATAGGGCTACTTTTCGAAAGTAATAATATAAGACATTTTAAAGACAAACATGAACAAGTGATAAAAACGTTGGCCCCCTCAACAAATTTAACATTTGGACATTCCATCATTTATATACCCAGGGCATGCTCTAATAGGCCTATCTCAAACAAAATTAATGTTATCTGACACACATTTCTATGTTTGAAGCCATATTAAAGGTGTCTACACACTTTTCGGAGGATGGGGGGTCATACAAAAGTATTTTATTTGCTGTATGGACCCAATGTTGAATATTCTGAATATTAATGGAACAACAGGCAGGGGTTTATGACCGAGATGACGGGGAATCCCCTGTCACCTTTGAACAGTCACGTGACCATACGGGGTTGTTTTTCTGGTGTAAACGCCCGTCCTGTACGCGTGTATGTGGGTCAAACATAATACAGGTAAATACAAAATACAGGTATATCATTATATATTCACCACTAATATAAACTGTAGATAGATTTGGAGACAACATCGCGTATTTGATAGGGCCTACATTAGAACCTCATGTTCGATTCGTTTCTCACTTCGTTTAAACACAGTAGCCTAATGATCAGTAATGGCTGATTTTGGTTGTCGCTTTTGTTATTGCTATACCCCTCTCCATGCATATCTCATTGCTGATAAATGTAGTTCAAAAGAAGCAAATAATGGTAAAAATGTAGAAAGATTGGAGTTGATGAGCGTATATTAATTCACCGAAGAAGTACATGTAAAGGTCACAGCTACTTTCGTTTTCGAGTCCATCGTAACCTGAAGATCGCCGTGTTTGTTGTGATCTCTGGGGACTTTTTCAACCTCTTACAGTGTATCGTGGAAATTACAATCTGTTTACTGGAGCATGTAATCATTTAGATTTTGTGAAAATTAATGAATTAGTTTAAGACGGGAATACGAATTTTAATTAAAATGAAGTATGTATGTGTAGCGTAAACGGTAGTATAGTGCCGCTACTTCTCAACTGTGTTTACTTATTTTTAATTCAGGTCTATATGTTAAATTTGCATTGATACCATTCAAAACATTCAGATTAATGTCAAGTCGCAATGGGAAATGAAGCATCGACATCACGGCTTCTCCATAATTTGGAGGAGCTTGAACAGGAGCTTGAACGAGACCAAGTCTCGAAGTCCAACCAACCACTAAAGGTGCAACATGGCTGGGATTCCAAGGACTGCTCCAATAATATGACAGTGCTAGATGACGGTTTGAAGGTAGGATCTACGGATCACCAGAAAAATCTACTCACCTTTAAGTTTCTGATCTATCCTGAACATTTCATCAAAATAAATTCATAATGTTTTTAGTTAGGTTGTTGACAAACAAACAAACAAACAAACGAACAGAGGTGAATACCGGAAAGGGGGGTGGGGGGGGGGTAAAAAGCCATTATCCATCCGTACATTTCATAGTCCCCATCAACTGTTTACAAATGCAAAAAGGCAGAGTGCCTTGATTTTAAAAGTTTTATCTTTGTAACTCTTTTTTTAGTAAAATCCTGTACCCGCTAGTGATTTGTTTCAATTTCAAACCAGACCCCTCATAACGAATAGAAATAAAAACACGGATTTCTATTTTATTATAATTTCACTATTGATTAAAGACTCGTTAAAACCTTAACGTTTTCTTTATTTATCAAAGTAGTACAATCATACTATGTACCTATTTTACAGGTGCGTAGAAATAAATCTTTACAGCCTAGGACGGATGCCGTTAGGGGCAAGAGAGGCTATGGTCAAGGAATACACATCTGGAAGATTCACTGGCCTCAGTCGATGAGAGGCAGCAATGCTGTTATTGGTGTGGCTACATATCAGGCCCCTCTGACTTGTACTGGTGAGTTTGGTTGGATGAATGACACGAAAAAAATTCACCTAGACCTATACATGTAAATAGGGGAGACCGGGATAAGTTGGACCCCATCAATTTATGACAAAGTAACTATGGGGTAAAAGAATTGATAACATCATTTTGCAAAGTGACCGTATCCAATAGTGCTAAGAAAGCGTCGGCAGTGAGTCCAAATGAAATTGAAATAATTTAGCATCTTAAAGTAACTTTATTAAAGAGACTTGATGGTGGTGGTGGTGGTGGTGGTGGGGGGGGGGGGGACTTACCCCGGCGGGGTCCAACTAGCCCCGGTCTCAACTAAGCTATGTCTTAAAATACAATAACCTTATATTTTTGAGGTATAACAAGTGCTACTAATGAACTTTCGTGGCATTTTTTCTATAGTTTGAACTGGTATAATATTGTTATATAAAAATGATGAGTTACATGCACATGTATATAGCTGTTTGTTTATATATATATATATATATATATATATATATATATATATATATATATATAACGTTATGTATACATAATGTTAAAAATCAGATTACTGTGATGTTGACGAGAAGAGTCAATTAATGTCGCAAAGTTTTTAAAAGTATAAATAAGTATTATTTGGCCTCCTTAATTTACATATAGGCTATCTGTTTCAAGTGCTTCTAATCTTATCATTCTCTCGAAGGTTATTCGTCTTTGATTGGTTCCAATGATCAGTCCATGGGGTGGGATATAGTCCGCAATGTTCTTCTCTTCAATGACTGCGTCATCAGAAAGTACCCGGATGATGCACCTGGTGAATTTGTTGCTCCTGATGTCATCACTGTAATTCTCAATATGGACTCGGGGACTCTTGGCTTTAAAAGTGATGGAAAAAATTACGGAGTAGCATTGAAGGGTCTTCGCTTACTGGGGAAAAAACTTTACCCTGCAATAAGCACAACATATGACAACTGTGAAGTGGGTATCGAATACATCAGAAGTACAGGTAAATGCTGGGCTCAGAGGAACTATTGTTTGGTTTTATATCATTTGCTTTATTTTTTGGTAAAATATTACATAAAATCAATCTTACAAAAAATAATAATATTAAATAAATAATTGATGAAAAAAGACACAGAAAAGTATTACAACAGGCCACCAGTGCATTGTGACTAGTTCATTGTTGAAAGATAAAACTGCTTTAGTTTGCAACCTGTTTTGAACAAAATCGTGCATGAGTAATATGCGGTATGCACAATCTTTCCTCTAATACTCTGCGGACGGATTTATAAACCTATTTTATTTCTTTCTATCCATGAAAGACGCAGCAACTGCACCCGACCTCCAGTTTGCTTCAAGGCCCACTGAAAGAAATCCTAGAATAAATGTTGTATATCGTTCTCATTCAGGATATGTTATTATCTTTATTTAAGACAGATAAAATAGTTTTGTTTCAAACTAAATCTGACTATTTCTTTCAGATCAGGGAAGACCACAGGCAAAACCATGTCCTCTGGCCTCCCCTCTGAAATTCAAACAGCAATGTGGGGAAAATATCGAATTGTCAAATGACAGCATTCAAGCGGAGAGATCAAAGTACGTTTTAATCAATTGTTCACTTTTAAAAGCTGAAAATAAAAAAATGAAAAAAGTTAAAAACTAATTTTTATAGTAGAGAATTCACTGCAATTTTAAAAAAATCTATATTCAGGTATTTTATTGACGGCAGGGGTTTTGCATGTATGTATTGTATTTTATTGCTGATATATTGTAAATGCCCCTTGGGATGTTAAAACGTCTTCTTTTTTATTATGTTTTAGACATATCTTTTTGCATCTTATTTTACGAATATTCTTACATGGCGTCAACCAATGAAAATGAAAACTGAATGCCACGCATTATAACAACAGCGTTTTGTACTGGCTCATTTTCCATTCCAGTTTTATGTCTGAATCAGACAAAGCAGTTGTTTTGACTTCGAGAAGTCTACAACCAAATGAAAAGTTTGAAATACGTGTAAAGAGAACCCTGGATAAATGGCCAGAGGGTCTAGCTATCGGAGTTGTGGCTCTGGAAGCAGGATTCGAGATTCCGAGAAGTCTCCCTGGACAAGCCACAGATATAGCGTGGGTCTGGAAAGGCACGGATGTTTTGCATGACCAAAAAACGGAACGAAAGATGGATTTTAACCTTAATTCCGCAAAAGTATGGATTTACGAATACAATTTTGTTTCTCCTCTGTGAATAAAGAGGTCTCTGCTAGAGCCCAGTCTGTCTAGTACTGTTCCTGATGCCTCTATACTAATAGTACTGTATGAAACAAAGTAAAAACGTTTCTCATCTTTCCCAATCAACATGAAAATCCCGAGAGCGAAAAATCAAGTCTAGTTGTTTAAATCAAAATTCAGAAGGATTTTATTTCATTTATCAGACAGGGTAAATGTGCATGTGTTTATCAATTACACGAGCGACCAATACATTTTTCGTGAACGCGATTACCGAAATCCTAATAGTCAGGGTGTTGATTACACTCTTTAGCTCTAATTTCAGATTGGCGACAAATTTGGTGTCATGAGAAAGGAAGATGGTGCTTTGCACTTCTTTTATAACGGTCGAGATATGGGAATGGCAGCCACAAATGTTCCTCAGAAAATACACGGAATTGTCGATGTCCATGGAAGTACTATACACGTAGAATTAGTGGGTAAGAATGCTATATCTATTGAAAAACGACAAATGCTCTCTCTACATGTACATGTATGTGAGTTTTGTCCCGCAGGCTGTTAAACATGCCGAATAACCTTTGTTTGACCGTGTGCTAGCATCTTATATCACAATGAAACAAAAAATAAATTCATAATTCATGTTCTTTTTTGTTTCATATTCAACAGAACAAATTCGAGAGGAAACCACAGAGCCAACAGGTGCCGCTTTTACCGGCATTTCTAGAATAGATCGCGTCTTTGAAAAAATGAGACAAACGATCGATTTATTAAAGAAGAAAGACGAACGCTCTATTCGATCCACTATACATATGGTCCACGAACATTTGTACATGCTGTACGCCAAGCATAAGGCCCGAAACCTTCGGCAGTTAATGGGTGACAAGCTGGTCCAGTTGAATGCTGCCTTCCATATTACTGAATATATAAAATTTCTCTGTGAGTGCGGGATTGAAAACGACAAAATCCATGAGCTGCTTCGTACTGTTTGTTTGAATTACAGTGATGCCAGTCTGCAGTTTGCCAGGTCCATCGGACAGACGGATCTGCTTGGAATCCTGTCTGCAGAACTTGCCAAGTATCAGAATAGATATATGAGTGAAGAGGTAAGAAAGAAAAACCAATTTGATATCCCCAATCCATTAGATAAATCGGAAAAAATTAAATGATGCGTGTCTTTGCATTAGTTTTGACTGGGCTTAAATTTATGACAAGTTCCACTTTTGAAAAAGGTATCAATTAAGATTGTTACTGATTTTCACCAACGGAGTCTCCAGTTATTCTGAAAATGTAATACATGTTATATTGTTCCATATACATGCTGTATATATATCATACTGTACTTAGATATAATTGCCAAATTATCTTCAAACAGAGATGTGTTATTTATTCAAAACTGTTGTTTTCAACACCAGGGGATAAGAGATATTGTTATGTCAGCACTTGCCATTCTTCACAACTGTTCAAAAGTTACGGAGAACCGAGCGGTGTATTACCTCCTCGGTGTGATCAACATCCTGGTCCCTTATACGAAGCCAGGGAATGACGAAAGAGTCGCAATGACGGCCTTAATGACCTTGTCCTACCTTGTTACTATTGACCAACAACACCTGATCCAAGCAGAGCCATCAGCTATTGCATACATTCTGAAGAAACTCGACGAAGCACTGAGAAACGCAGAAACTCATCAATCGGACGGTTTCCATGCCTACGAAATTGTGGAATCGCTTATAAACCTATCGAAAAGCGCACAGAATCGGGTGACGACGGTACAGAAAGGAGGCATTCCCCTGTTTGTGAAAATGATGAAAGTCGGTAATCCACGAGAGCAGGAACTCGCCCTGAACGCCGTGTGGGAACTTATTAACGGTGGCGACGGGACGCTGTCAACTATCTCTAGAACAGAAGGGCTATTAGACGAAGCGAAGGCTTTAAAGAGCAGCAAAGTCGAAACTGTTCGCCAAGCCGCTGAAAGGATTTTATTGAGGCTTGATACGCAGACTCAAATGTTTTCCCAGAGGTTTGGTAAGATAATAGTTTTTCGTTTAAAAAAGTAAATATCAATCAATCAGTTATTCAATCGTGAACTGTGAATTCTTGGATATCATTAGTGAAAGAAATTACGTTTTAAACAAGCTGTTCTGTTCAAAGTTTATTACCTTTCCAGAACCGGCACCCATTCCAAAGTGCACTTACAAAGATATCTGCGACAAATTTGTTGAGACACTCAACATACATGGTAAGTTTTCATTAACTAAAAAGTATTTTCAAATTCATTTCCTTGTGATATTTTTAAGATACTATTACCCTATTTTAAACTCTTTTTATTCATTCACTCAACTGCTTTTGGTTATGTACATGTATTTCCATGCATTGCAATTTTACAGAGAGATATTTTGATGCCAAGTATCATCACTGCTTCTGCAACGTTTGTCATAATGAGAGAGGAGACAATCTGTATTATACTCGCGGAAATCCACCCAAGGACTATGGTATTCCAATTGGATGGTACAGGTATGCCCTTTGGTGAGTATAACAACGACAATCCGGGTTTGCGCTTACCTTATCTAGAAATGCTGGTAACTTGGAAATTTGAATGTAATCTTCAACTTCTCAGTGTGTCACAGTCATAAGCAAAACTTAAAATGTAACAATTATTATTCATGTATATTGTAAAACCGCAAAACTTTTTGCTTTTTGTTTTGTTATTCAATGCTACTGTGGGATATTCGTCTGACTATTTGAAGTTACTTTTTACTGTATCAAGGAGCATGTATGAACTGTCTATTTTTTTTTCAATGTGGCACCAGCCTTCCAGCTAAAGCAAAGGCAATGAACGTATTGGACAACTGGCACAGGGCATTCCATGGCACTAAGAAAGATGTGGTTAGCAAGATACTTGAAGTCGGGGAACTGCTCATTCCAGGTTAGGGAACCGATTGTCTTATGACGTCATGGAACAGGCAATTGTATTGCGAATAGCTGAAATTCACAAAATGTGCGATATTTATGTGTCAGTGTCTATAATTAATGTCAACTTCGCTTAATTCATTCCCTTATTCAAGTGCACATGCGGACTTTTTTTCCTTTTTTTGGGGGGGGGGTCCGTACGTGTTCTCGAACTCTTACTTTTTTTGGTTTTATTTTTTATTAATCTTTTTTGGAGGGCATGGGAAAAAGATCTTGTTTCAGAGATGCCATATCAGAGTTATATAAAAGTTATCAACATTTGTATTTCATGGACTTTAGGCGACGAAGCGTTGGGCGGCGACAAAGTAAGCGAGAGGGAAGGCCATTTCAAAGACGACCATAAGCCCGAAGAGTTCGACACCAAGAAAATATTTTTATCTCCCAGTATCCGTTATGCTGGCCATGGCGCTTATGCCATGCCACACAAGTATGTATTCGTGTGTTGTATTCGTGTGGTATTTGTATAAATTGTAAACAGGGGTAAAAAAACAGGTTACACACAGTATGTTTGTGTATTAAAGTGTTTGTTTAAGAAGAAACATGCGGTCAGTATCGTGTTATTCTAATGCTATTCTGATTTAAAGTGGTATCACGAAATTAAAAATAGTTATTATTATATTAATAACAAAATGGTAATTATTGGTTTTATTCTTATAAAGCAACTGTTGACAGTTTAGTGAAATGATTCGGCAAAATATAGACTAGATGCTGTTGAATACAGGATGCAGCATTGATTTAAGTTTTTTTAGCATGTAAAATTCGAGTCGTTTGATAAAATCAGTAAAGTCAGCTCAGGAGAACACTTCCTATTTTCCTGTATGACCAGGTTAAACTTGCGGAGTCCGTGCACGCTGTAATTAGTGTGGGACCGCGAAACTGTATCTGGGTCTGCTTTGGAGCTCGTACCTGACGCCGTTACTCTCTGCCCAGGGCGCATCTACTGATAACATTAATGAGTGCGAAAGGATATGCAACGGCCATGGGGCAATAAAATGTTTACAATTTGGGTGGAGCTTAGACTAAGGCCCGTTGTCTATTGGTTGATTGAGAAACCCTGTATTAAAGGCGTGGACTAAATAGTTAAATGCTGATAGGCGCGGGCTAGGCCACTGTAGATTTCGGCAACCCTGAAACTATTCTAGCTCGTTTGAATAAATCGTTCTCTGAGGGAAAACTGCTTTTACATACCGCAAGTGAACACGATTTATTGCTGACTCAACAAAACCATCCACGAGGCCAGTGATTTCATTTTCTGGAAGTTGTATCAGCTCATTGGGAATGGGCTGAATCCGTGCTGTTTTCCCTGCAACTTTGTATGTAATGATTACAATAACAACCTAGTAGACCTAGAAAGAAACTATTTCACATGCAAGAAATGTTACATCGTATGATGACGTCGCGATGCATCGTCACATAAATTACGTCAAAACGCAGGGACATGTAAACGACATTTTAATTTTAATGGGTTAAAAGACACAAGGTTCAATATTCTGGATGACATTTTTTCACCTTTTTTTTTAATTCTTGAAACTGGTTTCTTCATAACAAATTAATCATGCACTTTTTATCAAATATTTCAGATTTGAGGTATCAGGAAAAACCTATGTGGCCCGTGTAGCACTTCAAGTGTGCATTCGCCCAGGCAGCTATGATGTCGGCGATCAAACTATCGGAGAAACCAAGCCAATCGACCCAAAGTTTGATAATCAGGAAATAGAGTGGTCAACAAAAGAGTGTGGAAGCACCATTTTGTATGGTCTGCTGGTGAAATTGGAAGAACAAGCTTCTTGAAATAGTTAATTTCAACTTCGACGGAGCTGAGAACAATAAAGCTTTAGACTTAATCAGTGTAAAGGGTTTGAATGGTATATCATTCTGTATCCAAATCGATCGGATCATGTTGGAAAGTGTCGGTTTCATACCATTTGTATATTGTTTTATGTATGGCGTGATATTTGCAATGGATAGGCCAAAGCCGACTTGCGGTTGATTGTGATTGACTTAAAACCTTGCATTTACATTTTTAAAAAATGATGTCTACGTGAGAAAAATAATCCCTTTCCAATGTACAGGCCTAATGATATTTGAAGAGTCAAAAACATGCCGATTTTCAAACCAGTTTACAATTTACATCCATGCAGCTTCTTGCGTTTTGTTTCGATTTTTCTCAACCATTTCGAATTTTCATCAAGTGATTTGGAGATGGTTATTGGTATTTTCGAAACCAAGAAGGCCTACTTGTGTCCTTCAATAAAAGAAGCATCCACAAATATGCTAGTTCCTTGTAGTAAACTTGTCTTTGTAGGTTACAGACATTGGGCGAAGTAAAAGTGCCGAGAGACTTATGTGGGGGTATCCGCTACTCACTGAGTTTCACTTTACAAAGGAATTCTTAATGTAGCACTGGACTAAAATTTTAGCCTAGACTTTGTTTCTCCCAGTAGGTGATGTCAGCCGGTCAACAAAGAATACAAGGAGGTATTCCAGTCTTTTCACCTAATCTGTACTGTTGGTAAATAAAGTACCTCTAAATGTGTTAATATTTTTTGTTTTGCTTTTTTTTTTTGGCAGAAATAATAAAGAGTTTAACGGCTGGGTTTTTAGGCAGCTGGAATCGTGCCATTTTGCAAGTCCACCTACAGACCAAGATTAAATCATTGCGATAGTTGAGCATCAGATTGCAAAGCGAATTGTATCACGTTTTGGTTATGAAAGGCCAAAGTTATTTTTAAAATGGTGTGGATGCGAAACACACTGACGAAGGGTTCCAAAATATTTTACGACCTACCTCTATCTTGAAAACACGGCTTTCGTAGTTTATTTCATAAAAAATCTCCGCTAACAAATCCAATAATATACCCATAAGCATTGGTGGATGTAGGATTTTAAATAAGGAGACAAGGGAGGGGGGAAATTTAACAATGGACCTTTGATCATTTATATAACCAGAACATGCTCTAATTAATAGGCCTATCTGAAACAAACTTAATGTTATCTCACACACATTTCTATGTTTGAAGCCATATAAAAGGTATCTAAACACTTTTGGGAGGGTGGAGGGATCACACAAAAGTATTGTATTTGCTGTTTGGACTCATTATTGAATATTCTGAATATTAATCGAACAACAGGCAGGAGTTTATGACCGATTCCAAGATGACGGGGAATCCCCTGTCAACTTCAGTCACGTGACCCATACGGGGGTTGTTAATCTGCTGTAAACTCCTGTCCTGTTCGCGTGTATGTGGGTCAAACATAATACAGGTAAAATTCTGGTTAATTGTGATCACTTCATCTTTGTATATGATTACATATTCACCACTAATATAAACTGTAGATAGATTTTGAGACAACATCGCGTATTTGATACATTAGAACCTCATGTTCGATTCGTTTCTCATTTCCGTAAACACAGCATAATGGCTGATTTTGGTTGTTGCTTTTGTTATTGCTACTCCCCTCTCCATGCATTCCTCTATACTAATTAGTGTAGTTCAAAAGATTCAAATAACGGTGATTATGTAGAAAGATTGGAGTTAATGAGTATATATCAATTAACCAAAGAAGATCTGTTTAATAAAAAGTACGTCTACAGGTCACAGCTACTTTCGTTTTCAAGTCATTCGTAACCTGAAGGCCGCCGTGTTTGTTGTGATCTCTGGGGGCTTTTTCAACGTCTTACAGTGTATCGTGGCAATTACAATCTGTTATACTGGAGCATGTAATGATTTAAATTTTGTGAATATTAAATGTAGTTGCCGAATACGAATTAATGAAGTATGTATGTCTATCGTAACCGTAAGTATAGTGGCGCTACTTCTTAACTGTGTTAACTCATTTTTAATTCAGGCCTATATATGACTTTTGCATTACCATTCAAAGCATTCAGATAAATGTAAAGTCGCAATGGGAAATGAAGCATCGACATTACGTCTTCTCCATAATTTGGCGGAGCTTGAACAGGAGCTTGAACGAGACCAAGTTTCTAAGTCCAACCAACCACTAAAGGTGCAACATGGCTGGGATTCCAAGGACTGCTCCAATAATATGACAGTGCTAGATGACGGTTTGAAGGTAGGATTCACGGATCACCAGTAAAATATACCCACATTTAAGTTTCTGACTATCCTGAACATTTCATCAAAATACATTCATAATGTTTTTAGTTGACAAACAAACAAACAAATAGAGGTTGGGGGGGGGGGGGTAAAAAGCTATTATCCACCCCTGTGCCGAACATTTTATAGTCCTCATCAACTATTTTCTAGATGCAAAAAGGCCGACTGACCTGATTCAAAAGTTTTATCTTTGTAACTACTCTTGAGTAAAATTCCGTATCTGCTAGTGATTTGTTTCAATTTCAAACTAGACTTCTTATAACCAAAAAAAGGGGAGGGCGGGGATCATCATTTTATTATAATTTCACTATTTATTAGAGAATCGTTAAAACCTTAACGTTTTCTTTATTTATCAAAGTAGTACAATCATACTATGTACCTATTTTACAGGTGCGTAGAAATAAATCTTTACAGCCTAGGACAGATGCTGTTAGGGGCAAGAGAGGTTATGGTCAAGGGATACATATCTGGAAGATTCACTGGCCCCAGTCGATGAGAGGCAGCAATGCTGTTATTGGTGTAGCTACCTATCAGGCCCCCCTGACTTGCATTGGTGAGTTTGGTTGGATGGTGACAGGAAAAAATTCACCTAGACCCACACATGTACAAAAACTGCGTATAAAAGTGCAAAACCTTTTATGCTTGAGGTATAACAAGGGCAACGTATAATTTGGACTCTTTAAATTACATACTGTATAGGCAATTTGTTTCAAGTGCTTCTAATCATATCATTCTCTCGAAGGTTATTCGTCTTTGATTGGTTCCAATGATCAGTCCATGGGGTGGGATATAGTCCGCAATGTTCTTCTCTTCAATGACTGCGTCATCAGAAAGTACCCGGATGATGCACCTGGTGAATTTGTTGCTCCTGATGTCATCACTGTAATTCTTAATATGGACTCGGGGACTCTTGGCTTTAAGGGTGATGGAAAAAATTACGGAGTAGCATTGAAGGGTCTTCGCTTACTGGGGAAAAAACTTTACCCTGCAATAAGCGCAACATATGGCAGCTGTGAAGTGGGTATCGAGTACATCAGAAGTACAGGTAAATGCTGCTATTGTTTGGTTTAATCTAAAAAATATCATTTGCTTTATTTTTTGGTAAAATATTACAAATAATCAATCTAAATGCTAAGCTCAGAAGAACTTTTATTTGGTATTATCTGAAAAATATCCTTTGCTTTATTTCTTAGTAAAATATTGAAATGTTGACTCGATTTCTTTTACAAAAATATCATACCAAATAAAGATTAAATAAATAATTGATGAAAATAGACACACAAAAGTATCACAATAGGCCACCAGTGCATCGTAACTAGTCTATTGTTGATGGATAAAACTGCTTCAGTTTGCAACGTTTTGAACAAAATCGTGAGTAGTATGCAGTATGCACGATATTTCCCCTCATACTCTCAGCACAGATTTACAAACCTACATGTATTTTGTTTCTTTCGATTCATGTAAGACGCAGCACCTGCACCCGACCTCCCGTCTGCTTCAAGGCCCACTGAAAGAACCACTGCAAGAGGTACGCTCTGTAACCTGACTACAACCATTGCACCTTAAATCCTAGAATAAATCTTGAATATCGTTTTCATTCAGGAAATTCTATTTTATTTTTTATTTTATTATAGACGGATCACATAGTTTTGTTTCAAACTAAATCTTTTTATTTCTTTCAGATCAGGGAAGACCACAAGCAAAACCATGTCCTCCGGCCCAGCCTCTGAAATTCAAAAAGCAATGTGGGAAAAATATCGAATTGTCAAATGACAGCATTCAAGCGGAGAGATCAAAGTACGTTTTGATCAATTATTCACTTTTAAAAGCAGAAAAATAGAAAATGAGGAAGTTAAAAAATAATTTATGTAATAGAAATTTCACTGACGTTTTTATCTATCTTCAGGTATTTTATCGACGGTAGGGGTTCTATGTATTGTTATTTAAGTATTTTGTTGCTGAAATATTGTAAATGCCCCCTTGGGATGTTAAAACATCTTCAATTTGATTATATTTTAGACATCTTTTTGCATTATATATTATGAATATTCTTATATGGCGTTAACCAATAAAATTAAAAACCGGATGCCACGCATTATTACAATAACGGTTTGTACCACCTCATTTTCCATTCCAGTTTTATGTCTGAATCAGACAAAGCAGTTGTTTTGACTTCGAGAAGTCTACAACCAAATGAAAAGTTTGAAATATGTGTAAAGAGAACTCTTGGTCAATGGGCAGAGGGTCTAGCGATCGGAGTTGTGGCTCTGGAAGCAGGATTCGAGATTCCGAGAAGTCTCCCTGGACAAGCCGCAGATATAGCGTGGGTCTGGAAAGGCACGGATGTTTTGCATGACCGAAAAACGGAACGGAAATTGGATTTTAACCTTAATTCCGCAAAAGTATGTATTTAAGGATTGTGTGTATTTATTATGTTTCGCCTTTTTGAAGGGGTCTCTGCTGGAGCCCAGTCGGTCTTGTACTGTTCCTGATGCCTCTATACTAACAGTACTGTATGAAACAAAGTACAAACGTTTCTCACTTTTTCCCAATCAACATGAAAATCCCGAGAGCGAAAGAGTAAGTCCAGTTGTTTTAATCGAAATTCACATTGATTTCATTTCATTTATGAGAAAGGATAAATGTGCAGGTGGTTGATTGTTTACCAATTACACGAGCGACCAATACATTTTTCGTGAACACGATTACCGAAATCCTAATAGTCCGGGAGTTAATTACTATCTTTAGCCCTAATTTCAGATTGGCGACAAATTTGGTGTCATGAGAAAGGAAGATGGTGCATTGCACTTTTTTTACAACGGTCGAGATATGGGAATGGCAGCCACAAATGTTCCTCAGAAAATACACGGAATTGTTGATGTCCATGGCAGTACTATACACGTAGAATTAGTGGGTAAGAATGCTATATGCATTGAAAAAGGACAAAGATTTATTTTCATAAATGATGATACATGTATGTCCATGTGAACTTTGTCCCGTGGGCTGTTCAACCTATCGAATAACCCTTGTCTGACCGTGTAATAGCAACTTGTATCACAATGAAACTGAAAATATAATATATTAAAAACAGGTTTGAAATCTTGACATTCATGATCTTTTTTATTTCATATTCAACAGAACAAATTCGAGAGGAAACCACGGAGCCAACAAGTGCCGCTTTTGAGCGTATGTCTAGAGAAGAACGCGCCTTTGAAAAAATGAAACAAACAATCGATCTCTTGAAGAAGAAAGACGAACGTGCCATTCGATCCACTGAACTCATGGTCTTACAACATTTGTACATGTTGTACGCCGATCATAAGGACCGAAAGCTGAGGCAGTTAATGGGTGATAAGCTGGTCCAGTTGAATGCCGCCTCCCATATTACTGAATATATGAAATTTCTACGTGATTGCGGGCTTGAAAACGATAGAATCTTCAAGTGTTATGATCTGCTTCGTAGTGTTTGTTGGAATTACAGTGATTCCAGTCTGAAGTTTGCCAGGTCCATCGGACAGACGGATCTCCTTGGAATTCTGTCTGCAGAGCTTGCCAAGTATCAGAATAGATATATGAGTGACGAGGTAAGAAAAAAATCAATTTGATATCACCCAACCCATTAGATAAATTGGAAAATGATGTGTGTGTGTGTGTGTGTGTGTGTGTGTGTATTGGCTTTGACCGGGCTTAAATATATTTAAGAACTTGCACTTTTGAACCAAGCGTCAATTATGATTGTTACCAATTCTCATCGACGGAGTCTCCAGTTATTTTGAAAATGCAATACATGTTTATTGTTTCGTTTCACAAATATACATCACACAGAAAAAAAGTGCCATACTTGTTTCTCTACTTAAACGCAAATTATCTTCAAACAGAAGTGTACTATTAATTCAAAACTATTTTTTTTAATCCCAGGGGAAAAAAGATATTGTTATGTCAGCATTTGGAATTCTTCACAACTGCTCAAAAGTCACGGAGAACCGAGGGGTGTACTACCGCCTCGGCGTGATCAACATCGCGGTCCCCTACACGAAGCCAGGGAATGACGAAACAGTCGCAATGACGGCCTTAATGACCTTGTCCTACCTGGTCACTATTGACCAAAATCACCTGATACAAGCAGAGCCATCAGCAATTGCAAATATTCTGAAGAAACTCGATGAAGCACTGAAAAACGCAGCAACTCATCAATCGGACGGTTCTCTTACTTTCCATGCTTACGAAATTGTAGAATCGCTCATAAACCTATCCAAAAGCGCACAAAATCGGGTGACGACGGTACAGAAAGGAGGCATTCCCCTGTTTGTGAAAATGATGAAAGTCGGTAATCCACAAGAACAGGAACTCGCCCTGAACGCCGTGTGGGAACTGATTAACGGAGGGGATGGGACGCTGTCAACTATCTCTAGAACAGCAGGGCTATTAGATGCAGTGAAGGCTTTAAAGAGCAGCAAAGTCGAAACCGTTCGTCAAGCCGCTGAGAGGATTTCATTGAAGCTTGACACGCAGTCTCAAATGTTTTCCCAGAGGTTTGGTAAGGTGGTAGTTTTTCGTTTACAAAATTTAATATCAATAAATAAATAAATAAATAAATAAATCATGAGCAGTGAATTTTTGGTAATCATATGTGAAAGTAATTGCATTTTAGACAGGCCATACGGTTAAAAGTTTATTACCTTTCCAGATCCGGCACCCAAGCCAAAGTGCACTTACAATGATATCTGCAACAAATTTGTTGAGACTCTCAACTTGCACAGTAAGCTTTCATTAACTTAAAAATTGTTTTTAAATTCATTTCCTTATCATATTTTTTAAAGATTCTGTTTGCCTATTCTAAACTCTTTTTATTATGTTTTCAATAAGATGTAAAACGAGTACATGTTGCACTCAACTGTTTCCGGCTATGTACATGTATTTCCATGCCTTGGAATTTTACAGAATCATATTTTGATGCTAAGTATCATCGCTGCTACTGCAACGTGTGTCATAATGATAGAGGAGACAAACTGTATTATACTCGCGGAAATCCGCCAAAGGACTACGGTATTCCAATTGGATGGTACAGGTATGCCCTTTGGTGAGTATACCAACGGCAAACCGGTTTGGTAAATTAGAAATTTGAATGATTTTATATGTCATCAACGTCTCCGTGTGTTACAGCCGTGAGCAAAACTCTATATTTTTCATGTATATTGTGAAACCGCTAAACTTTTTGCTTTTTGTTTTGTTATGCATTGCTACTGTGGGATATTTTCTGACTATTTGAAGTTTTTTTTCTTTACTGAATCAAGTTGCATGTATGAGCTGTCTATTTTTTCACCGTTTTACCAGCCTTCCACCTAAAGCAAAAGCTATGAATGTATTGGACAACTGGCACAGGGCATTCCATGGCACCAAGAAAGATGTGGTCACCAAGATACTTGAAGTCGGGGAACTACTCATTCCAGGTTAGGCACTGTTTGTCTTATGACATGACGGGAAAAGCGCTTGTATTGCGAGCAACTTTAATTCACGAAACCTGTGATACTTATGTGTCAGTGGTCTAATTAATGTCAACTTCACCTATTCATTCACTTATTCAAGTGCGCAGTACTATTGTTTAAAATTTTTGTTGATCCGTACGTAATCTCGAACTCGGGTATTTTTTGAATTATTATTTTTTATTAAACTTTTTTTCTTTTTTCCCATAGAGATGCCGTATTAGAGTGATATAAAAGTTATCAACATTTGTTTTTCATGTATTCATTTACTTGGATTTCAGGCGATGTAGCGTTGGGCGGCGACAAAATAAGCGAGAGGGAAGGCCATTTCAAAGACGACAATAAGCCTGAAGGGTTCGACACCAAGAAAATATTTGTATCTCCCAGTATCCGTTATGCTGGCCATGGCGCTTATGCCATGCCACACAAGTATGTATCCGTGTGTTGTATCCGTGTGGTTTTTATGAATAGTAAACAGTGTGTGTGTGTGTGTGTGTGTGTGTGTGTGTGTGTGTGTAAATATGTTTGTTTGGAAGAACCCTGCTGTCAGTATCGTATTTTTCTAATGCTATATTGAATCATGTTATCATGAAAATAATAATAGTAACAATAATAAAAATAATAATAATTTTACCGATTTTTCTCCTGTAGATGAGGATTCTGAAAATTAAATTAAAGAACAAGCTTAAGCATCACTATCGTCTCTTCCTTTATTTTCATATTTATTATTCATTTACCAAGTCTGTATAAATAATAAATGTGAAAAATAATAAATGTAAACTTAAAGAAACATTACAAATATAAACAGAAATAGATATGGTTTGCATCGCAAAGGGTGATCCTGTAGCCCAAGAAAGACGTTGGAGATATTGAAGTGCGTTTTGAATATACATGTAAATGCGTTTCGGTACGCAGCTTCAAATATCATGACATTAAATCTTACGATCTTGCGACCACGACTCTCTATCACTCCTGTCTCTTCAACATAACAAATTAAAGAGGATGTTTATACACGTGATTCTTTGTTAATTTTTGGATTAAAAAGACTTTCGCCACACTTGATACATTTTTAACAGGTACATGTATACATGTAGCATACAGTGAATCGTCACAAAGATATCACTCTAAAACAGTTAGAACAAACGAAACAATACTTGAGTAAGCGAGATTTTAGCTTGACTTTCCTTAAAAGGCGACAAGACTTATGGATTACTTACTTGAATTTCTACACCCCATTGTGACAAAGAAACAAATTACAAATTCAAATTCAAATTACGAAAATACAACACCTGTGAGGTGTCAAGTAAGTGAAATTTGTTTTGTATCTAAGGCGTCATAATAAGTATTAGATCTATGACGTCGGGATGCATCGTTCACTTAAATTACGTCACAACGCAGGAACATGTAAATGACATTTTAACTTTAATGGGTTAAAAGAGACGTGGTTCAATATTATGAATGATATTTTTGACCTTTTTTTATTTTTGAAGCTGGTTTCCTCATAAAAGATAAATCATGCACTTTTCCAAATATTTCAGATTTGTGGTATCGGGAAAAACCTATGTGGCCCGTGTGGCACTTCAAGTGTGCATTCGCCCAGGCAGCTATGATGTCGGCGATCAAACTATCGGAGAAACCAAGCCAATCGACCCAAAGTTTGACAATCAGGAAATAGAGTGGTCAACTAAAGAGCGTGGAAGCACCATTTTGTATGGTCTGCTGGTGAAATTGGAAGAACAAGCTTCTTGAAATAGTTAATCTTAACTTTGACGGAGCTGAGAACAATAAAGCTTTTGACTTAATCGGTGTAAAGAGTTTGAATGGTACAGGGGTATTTCATTCTGTATTCATATCGATCAGATCATATTGGAAAGTGTCGGTTTCATTCCATTTGTAAATTGTTTTATGTTATGGCGTGACATTTGCAATGGATAGTCCTAAACCTACTTGCGGTTGATTGTGATTGACTTAAAACGCTGCATATATATTTTAAAAAATGATGTCTACGTGAGAAAAATAATCCCTTTCTAATTACATGTGCCTACTGATATTTGAAGAGTCAAAAACATGCCGATTTTCAAACCAGGTTATAATTTACATCCACGCAGATTCTTGCGCTTTGTGTCGATTTTTCTCAACCTTTTAGAAAAGACATTTCTACTCTGCATCAAGTGATTTGGAGATGGTAATTGGTATTTTCGAAATCAAGAAGGTCTATTTGTATCCTTTAATAAAAAGTACTGTAGCATCCACAAATATGCTTGTTCCTTGCAGTAAACTTGTCTTTGTAGGTTACAGACATTGGGCGAAGTAGCCTACATGTATAGACTAGTAATAGTGCCAATATTTCCTGTTATTTGGGCCTATTCGTTACTCATTGAGTTGTATTTCACAAACGAATTTTCAAAGAAGCACTGGACTAAAATTTTAGCCAAGACTTTGTTTCTCTCTGTAGGTGACGTCAGCCGGTCACCTAATCTGCACTGCTGCTAAATAAAGTGGCTCTAAATGTGTTACTATTTTTTGTCAGAAATGATATGTTTAACGGCTGGTTTTAGGTAGTTGGAAACGTGCCATTCTGCATGTCCACCTACAGACGATATATTAAATCATGCGATAGTTGAGTATCAGATTACAAAGCCAATTGTGTCACCCTTTGGTTGTGAAAGACCAGATTATTTTTAAATGGCGTGGATGCCTGACGAAAGTTGCAAAATATTTCAAGATCTACCCCTATCTTGAAAACACGGCTTTTATTTTATAAAAAGAGTATCCGCTAACGCATCCAATTATATATCCATACCCAAGCAGAAGCATTGGTGGATGTAGGATTTTACTTAAAGCGACAGGGGGTCACAAGGACAAAAAGGACAATTTTACCACATTACGTTGGGTACAGGGGTGGAAAATTGATGGATTTGTTTTTTTTTTTGCTTCTTGTACATTGGAGGGGGAGGAGAGAAGCTGAGAATATTATTCCTTTCGAAAGTAAACATTTTCAAGCAAACTGAGCTTAGATTTAACTAGGAAAGAGTTCTCGTTCATATCAAAAGCGCATTTGATGGATACATGCCAATGGTAACGTTCGTGCCTCCCTAACATGAAACATTTTAAAGACAAATATGAACAAGTGATAAAAACATAGTCCCCTCAACAAATTTAACAATGAACCTTCGATCATTTATATATCCAGGGCTCTAATAGGCCTATCTCAAACAAAATGTTATCCCACACACATTTCTTTGTTTGAAACCATATTAAAGGTACGGAGTATTTAAACACTTTTTGAAGGGGGGGGGGGGGGGGGGAGGGGCTCACACAAAATTATTTTAATTGCTGTATGGACCCAATGATGAATATTCTGAATATAATTATTCTGAATATTATGGAACAACAAGCAGGAGTTTATGATCGATTCCGAGATGACGGGGAATCTCGTCAGCTTCAGTCACGTGACCCATACTTGGGTTGTTTATCTGCTGTAAACTCCTGTCCTGTTCGCGTGTATGTGGGTCAAACATTATACAGGTAAAATTCTGGTTAATTGTAATCACTTAATCTTAGCATATCATTATGATGACATCAGAAGCAACTGATTATTTCATTCACGCCTAAAAGAAACTGTAGATAGATTTTGAGGCAACACCGCGTATATGATACATTAGAACCTATGTTCGACTGTAGCTCACTTCCGTAATCTCAGCAATTGCTGATTCCGGTTGTTGCTTTTGTTATACTCCCACTCCATGCATTTCTTGGTACTAAGTAGCGCAGTTATGAGGAAACAAATAAAAATTATAATGTAAAAAGATTGAAGTTGATGAGTGTAAATCAATTAACCGAAGAAGAAAATAAAAAGTAGGCCTACTAACACATGTCAAGGTCACAGCTACTTTCGTTTTCGATTCCGTCGTAATCTGAAAAACGCAGTGTTTGTTGTGATCTCTCAGGACATTTTCAACCTCTTATCATGGAAATTACAATCTGTTATACTGAAGCATGTAATCATTAAGATTTTGTGAATATTAATGAATTAGTTGCAGACGGGAATACGAATCAATGAAGTATGTATGTGTAGAGTAAACTGTGTTTACTCATTTTTAATTCAGGGCTATATGTTAAATTTGATACCATTCAGTGCATTCAAATTAATGTCAATTCGCAATGGGAAATGAAGCATCGACATTACGGCTTCTCCATAATTTGGCGGAGCTTGAACAGGAGCTTGAACGAGACCAAGTTTCTAAGTCCAACCAACCACTAAAGGTGCAACATGGCTGGGATTCCAAGGACTGCTCCAATAATATGACGGTGCTAGATGACGGTTTGAAGGTAGGATCTACGGATCACCAAAAAAAAAAGTTTCTGATCTATCCTGAACATTTCATCAATGTTTCATAATGTTTTTAGTTTTGCTGTTGAAAAACAAATAAACAACCCATTATCCATCCCTGTGCCGCACTTTTTATAGTGTCCATCAACTGTTTTATAGAAATGAAAAAAGGCTGAGCGGCCTGATTCAAAAGTTTTATATTTGTAACTCTTATTTAGTAAAATCCTGTATCTGCTTGTGATTTGTTTCATTTTCAAACTAGACTCCTTATAGCGTGATTTGTTTCATTTTCAAACTAGACTCCTTATAGCGAATAGGGAAAAAATGGCTGTCTATTTTATTATATTATTGATTAAAGTCTTGTTTAAACGTTTGTTTTCTTTATTCATCAAAGTTGTAAAATCATACATTGTACCTATTTTACAGGTGCGTAGAAATAAATCTTTACAGCCTAGGACGGATGCCGTTAGGGGCAAGAGAGGCTATGGTCAAGGGATACATTTCTGGAAGATTCACTGGCCCCAGTCGATGAGAGGCAGCAATGCTGTTATTGGTGTAGCTACATATCAGGCCCCTCTGACTTGTATTGGTGAGTTTGGTTGGATGGTGACAGCAAACAAAAATCACCTTGATCCATACATGTACATAAGCTATGTATAAAAGTGATTATGCTTGAGGTATATACAGACTTGACATTTAATATGGAATATTTTTTTACAAATCATTTGTCATCAGTTTTTTTCCTATTTTGCTGACTGATAAATGAAAATAAGGATTAAAATCGTCTTCTAATAACTTTTAATTATCTCTTTGATGTAATTGTGACATCAGTTCATTAATGGAATTGGCCAGAGAAGCAAACAAAAACACATTGCCTATTCTACTTCATACGACAACCATTAAAAGAGTTATTTTGGATCTCCATATTTTTCCAAATTGCTGTCTGTAAAGGATTTACACGTTCCACAAAGGACCCTCATGTCAGTGTCTAGTCACAGTAACGGTCGCTGTAACGCCTGACTTCTTCTGGCTGCTACCAGCACTCTAAAGTGGCAAGGCATATTCCTTGGGCTAGGTTCTTAGAGTTCAATCTGGGATAACATTCCAGGCATCGGTCAAAACCTGTCCAATTTGGTCCAGTTTTGTTGTAGGACATGTGGGCCATTGATTCGGCGAGTAATGGCCTGCCCACATGTTATCCGTGTGGTTCAAATATGGCGGTCTTGATGACCAAGGTAGCTGCTCATTCCCTTGGTTCTGTAAGTTATCTGCTATTAAAAGTGCTCTGTGTGAATCGGCAATCTCACCGTGCAGCCTAAAATTGTTCCTAAGGTGCCCCCTATCAAATGATAGTCAAGTGGTTCCCAGATTATTCCTTTATTTGATCTGGTTCAGGTTTTCGTCGATGACTGCCATTGGTGTTTTGGCACCAATGTGGTATCCACTCCAAATCCTGACGCTGATAATGACCTTAGTCACTTTAGACGCGGCACATACTTCGTTGTTGGCCTCTTCTGGATGTCTGTAAACTCTTTTGTGACTAGTTGAGCGGTACAGGTGAAATCTGACCTCAATAACGAAAGCCACGAGGTTTCAGTGTTCAACCCAGAAACGGTCAAGGTCCCCAATTCATTAGAGAAACTTACAACGATGTTTTACAGTTTACAGTGGGTTCCCCGGAGGTCGTCTGGTATTCTAACCTGCTAAAACCAGTTTGGTGTTCGCTAAAGGCCTTGAAATATGCGTTTTGGTGGCAATTTACCCCTCATTCTGAACGGACTGGGTGTTTTTTGTTTAGTTGCAAAAACATATCCTGAAAGACAGTGGGTCCTGTACCCTGGTGGTAAGATTTCAATACATTGGGTGTGGCCTTTATGTAGGTACATCAGTCTGGGCATTACTCTATAAAACTGTGCGGACCGTTTCGTTTGGCACAATTATCTGTCTGGCAATGTCTGTCTTTTTCGCGCCATTTTGCCACAGATTAACAAATTTGTAAAGCACTTGATAGCTCGAGCATTTTACATACTGCTAAACCGACAACCTGCATGCAAAATTTCAAATTCTTCTATGCAGAAGTTGCCGACATATGGATACTTTTTGGACGGAACCATGCTTAGCCAAAGCCAAGCTTTGACCTGCCCAAAGGAGCACTACCCAATTAAATTACTGCATATTACATAATGGAGCAGCACAACAAACCTGGTATTCAGTGAATTGGAAGCGACACACATGACTTCACCCTTCTCCATTCACATATCTTATATGAGATCGGAGTTTTTTGAAAAAATAACGCATTTCTACCTAGGCATACCCTCGAAACTGAAATATTCCATATTAAATGTCAAGTCTGTATATATATATATATATATATATATATATATATATATATATATATATATATATATATATATAGTTTAAAATCGGATTACTGTATTACGTACGTTGATCAGAAGAATAAATGTCACAAAGTTTTAAGTGTAATTTGGCCTCCTTAAATTGCATATAGGCGATCTGTTTCAAGTGCTTCTAATCATATCATTCTCTTGAAGGTTATTCGTCTTTGGTTGGTTCGAATGATCAGTCCATGGGATGGGATATTGTCCGCAATGTTCTTCTCTTCAATGACTGCGTCATCAGAAAGTACCCGGATGATGCACCTGGTGAATTTGTTGCTCCTGATGTCATCACTGTAATTCTCAATATGGACTCGGGGACTCTTGGCTTTAAGAGTGATGGACAAAATTATGGAGTGGCACTGAGAGGTCTTCGCTTACAGGGTAAAAAACTTTACCCTGCCATAAGCGCAACTTATGGCAACTGTGAAGTGGGTATCGAGTATATCAGAAGTATATCAGGTAAATGCTGGGCTCAGAGGAACTTTTACTTGAAATAATTTGAAAAATATCGTTTGCTTTACTTTTTTATTTAAATATTAAAATGATGACTAAATTTTACAAAAAAAATCAATATTTAATAAATTATTGATGAAAAAAGACACAGAAAAGTATCACAATAGGCGACCAATGCATAGGGGAAACCGGGGCTATTTGGCCCAGTTAGACAGTTTTGTGCCAACTAGGAATGAGTTAGAGTAACAAAACCGGTTTCAAAGTAAGCCCCATGAACTAAGCTACGTATGCAACGTCATTATTTTTCAAAATAAGGGCAAGTTGGCACCCTATATGAAAATGAAGTATCCCAAGTAAACGTCTTGAAATACATTTTTATACATTTTTAATTTATTAAATTGATTTTTGAGAGTCTTTGATGAATAAATAGTTCATATGAGGCAGATTTATTGAGGTTTCCGTACGTCACGTTGTATCTGTTGCAAGAACCAATATATCAGACTCATTATCTATCAATAAAATTTGTTTTGTTTTAATTAAGAATAAATTGATAATGGTTTACAGCAGCTTTTTAATGAATGAAAACGAATAATAAATTTTCGTTTTAAAAGAAAGTAACAAATTCAGTTTTAAACCATTGAGTTTGTTTCAACAATGGTCTCTAGCTCTGTTGCGCGCAAAGGTTTGTGGGTAATATGAGGGACCAACCTGCTTCGAGTCAAGGCGGCCAACTAGCCCCGGGTGCACATTTTTTTTATTTTAAAGGATGACAGCCATTAATGGTGCTAGAATGAGCAACGATGATACATCTCTGTGAAACTTGAAACACTGAGCTTCAGTTTGATGCCCTTTACATACATTATATTCGATCAAAGCCTATGAAAATAGATTTTTAAATCCCTTAAAGAAAATTACTTTTAGGTGCAAAAATCGTTTATTTCGACTCACCGCTTAAGTAAAACTTTTTAACGCCCGCCACTTCCTTAGCATTGTAGGCTACGGACACTTTACAAGAGTATGTGGCCAATTTTTTTTTACCTCGTAGTTACTTTTTCATAAATTGGGGGGGGGGGAGGCAACTTAACCCCGGGGTCCAACTAGCCCCGGACTCCCCTAGTAACTAGATTGTTGATGGATAATGCTAGTGTTTTGAACAAAATCGTGAGTAGTATGCAGTATGCACAATATTTTCTCTCATACTCTGCTCACAATTTTAAAAACCTATTTGTTTCTTTCGATTCATGTAAGACGCAGCACCTGCGCCCGACCTCCCGTCTCCTTCAAGGCCCACTGAAAGAACCACTGCAAGAGGTACGCTCTGTAACCTGAATACAACCATTGCATCTTAAATCCTAGAATAAATCTTGAATATCGTTCTCATTCAGGAAATTTTATTTTATTTTTTATTTTATTATAGACGGATCACATAGTTTTGTTTCAAACTAAATCTGGCTATTTCTTTCAGAGCAGGGAAGACCACAGGCAAAACCATGTCCTCCGGCCCAGCCTCTGAAATTCAAAAAGCAATGTGGGAAAAATATCGAATTGTCAAATGACAGCATTCAAGCGGAGAGATCAAAGTACGTTTTGATCAATTATTCACTTTTAAAAGCAGAAAAATAGAAAATGAGGAAGTTAAAAAATAATTTATGTAATAGAAATTTCACTGACGTTTTTATCTATCTTCAGGTATTTTATCGACGATAGGGGTTCTATGTATTGTTATTTAAGTATTTTGTTGCTGAAATATTGTAAATGCCCCCTTGGGATGTTAAAACGTCTTCAATTTGATTATATTTTAGACATCTTTTTGCATTATATATTATGAAAATTCTTATATGGCGTTAACCAATAAAATTAAAAACCGGATGCCCCGCATTATTACAATAACGGTTTGTACATGTACCACCTCATTTTCCATTCCAGTTTTATGTCTGAATCAGACAAAGCAGTTGTTTTGACTTCGAGAAGTCTACAACCAAATGAAAAGTTTGAAATATGTGTAAAGAGAACTCTTGGTCAATGGGCAGAGGGTCTAGCGATCGGAGTTGTGGCTCTGGAAGCAGGATTCGAGATTCCGAGAAGTCTCCCTGGACAAGCCGCAGATATAGCGTGGGTCTGGAAAGGCACGGATGTTTTGCATGACCGAAAAACGGAACGGAAATTGGATTTTAACCTTAATTCCGCAAAAGTATGTATTTTAGGATTGTATGTATATATTTATTATGTTTCGCCTCTGTGAACAAAGGGGTCTCTGCTGGAGCCCAGTCTGTCGTGTACCTCTATATTAATAGTGCTGTATGAAACAAAGTAAAAACGTTTCTCATTTTTCCCAATCACCATGAAAATCCCGAGAGCGAAAGAGTAAGTCCAGTTGTTTTAATCGAAATTCACAAAGATTTCATTTCGTTTATGAGAAAGGATAAATGTGCAAGTGATTGATTTTTTTTATCAAATACACGAGCGACCAATACATTTTTTGTGAACATGATTACCGAAATTCTTATAGTCAGGGAGTTAACTACTATCTTTAGCTCTAATTTTAGATTGGCGACACATTTGGTGTCTCGAGAAAGGAAGATGGTACATTGCATTTCTTCTACAACGGTCGAGATATGGGAATGGCAGCCACAAATATTCCTCAGAAAATACACGGAATTGTCGATGTCCATGGAAGTACTATACACGTAGAATTAGTGGGTAAGAATGATATATGTATTGAAAAAAGGACAAAGATTTATTTTTATCAATGATGATCTGCCCATGTGAATTTTGTCCCGCGGGCTGTTCAACCTGTCGAATAACCGTTGTTTGACCGTGTACTAGCACCTCATATCACAGTGAAACTGAAAGTAAAATGAATTTAAAACAGGTCTGAAATCTTGACGTGTTCTTTTTTATTTCATATTCAAAAGAACAACTTCGAGAGGAAACCACAGAGCCAACAGGTGCCGCTTTCACGCGCATGTCTAGAGAAGATCGTGCTTTTGAAAAAATGAAACAAACGATCGACTTCTTAAAGAAGAAAGACGAACGCACTATTCGATCAGCTGGGCTTATGGTCTACCAAAATTTGTGCATGTTGTACGCCGATCATAAGGACCGAAAGCTGAGGCAGTTAATGGGTGATAAACTGGTCCAGTTGAACGGCGCCTTCCATATTACAGAATATCTGAAATTTCTCCGTGATTGCGGGATTGAAAACGACAAAATCTATACGTGTTATGAGCTGCTTCGTAGTGTTTGTTGGAATTATAGCGATGGCAGTCTGAAGTTTGCCAGGTCCATCGGACAGACGGATCTCCTTGGAATTCTGTCTGCAGAGCTTGCCAAGTATCAGACTAGATATATGAGTGACGAGGTAAGAAAGAAGAAACAATTTGATAACCCCCAACCTATTAGAAAAATTGAAAAATAGTGTGTGTGTGTGTGTGTGTGTGTGTGTGTGTGTTTTGCATTGACTTTGAACGAGCTTAAATATATTACAACTTTAACTTTTGACCTAGGTGTCAATTAAGATTGTTACTGATTCTCACCAACGGAGCCTCCAGTTATTTTGAAAATGTAATTCATGTTATATTGTTCCTTATACATATATATCACACAAAATAAAATGTACTATACTTGCTATCTACTTAGATACATGACAAATTATCTTCAAACAGAGATGTGGTATTCTATCAAAGCTAATGTCTTTTAATCCCAGGGGAAAAAAGGTATTGTAAAGTCAGCATTTGGAATTCTTCACAACTGCGCAAAAGTCGCAGACAACCGAGAGGTGTATGACCGCCTTGGTGTAATCAACATCGTTGTTCCGTATACGAAGCCAGGGAATGACAAAACAATCGCAATGTCAGCCTTAATGACCTTGTCCTACCTGGTCACTATTGACCAACAACACCTGATCCAAGCTGAGCCATCAGCAATTGCAGACATTCTGAAGAAACTCGACGAAGCACTGAAAAACCCAGCAACTCATCAGTCGGACGGTTACCATGCCTACGAAATTGTGGAATCGCTTATAAACCTATCGAAAAGTGCACAAAATCGGGTGACGACAGTACAGAAAGGAGGCATTCCCCTGTTTGTAAAAATGATGAAAGTCGGTAATCCACAAGAACAGGAACTCACCCTGAACGCCGTGTGGGAACTTATTAACGGAGGTGACAGGACGCTGTCAACTATCTCTAGAACAGCAGGGCTATTAGATGCAGTGAAGGCTTTAAAGAGCAGCAAAGTAGAAACTGTTCGTCAAGCCGCTGAGAGGATTTCATTGAAGCTTGATACACAGACTCAAATGTTTTCCCAGAGTTTTGGTAAGGTGATAGGTTTTCGTTTAGAAAAATAAATATAAATTAATAATTAATAATAAAAAATTAATATGATAAACCATGAGCAGTGAATTGTTGGTAAACATGAGTGAACGTAATTGCATAAATTTAGACAAGCTATAGTGTTTAAAGTTTATTACCTTTCCAGATCCTACACCCAAACCAAAGTGCACTTACAAAGATATCTGCAACAAATTTGTTGCGACACTCAACATACATGGTAAGTTCTCATTAACTTGAAAAGTATTTTCAAATTCATTTTTTAATAATATTTTTAAAGATTCTATTCGCCTATTCTAAACTTTTTTACTATGTTTTTAATAAGGGAGTAAAGCGAGTACACGATGCACTCAAATGTTTTCGGTTATCTACATACGTTTGCATGCCTTGGAATTTTACAGAGACATATTTTGATGCTAAGTATCATCACTGCTTCTGCAACGTGTGTCATAATGACAGAGGAGATAAACTGTATTATGCTCGCGGAAATCCACCAAAGGACTACGGTATTCCAATTGGATGGTACAGGTATGCACTTTGGTGAGTATAACAATGCCAAACCGGGTTTGGTAACTTAATAATTTGAATGATTTTATGTCTTCAACGTCTGCGTGTGTTACAGACGGAAGCAAAACTTAAAATACTGTGCAAAATAGTTTTATTCATGTATATTGTGAAACCGCAAAACTTTTTTGCTTTTTGTTTTGTTATGCAATGCTACTGTGGGATAGTCTTGTGGCTATTCGAAGTTTTTTTTTTTTACTGTATCAAGGTGCATGTATGAGCTGTCTTTTTTTATGTGGTACCAGCCTTCCACCTAAAGCAAAAGCTATGAACGTATTGGACAAATGGCACAGGGCATTCCATGGCACTAAGAAAGATGTGGTTAGCAAGATACTTGAAGTCGGGGAACTGCTCATTCCAGGTTAGGCACCGAGTTTGTCTTATGGCGTCATGGGACAGGCACTTGTATTACGAACAACTCTAACCCTCGAATTGTGCGATACTTTTGTCAGGGTCTAATATATGTCAACTTCACTTCATTCATCCACTTATTAAAGTTTACACGCAGAACTTTTGTTTTAAATTTATGTTGGTCCGTACGAGATTATTATTTTATTAAACTTTTTTTTGGAGATGCCATATTAGAGACATATAAAAGTTATCAACATTTATTTTTCATGTATTCATAAACTTGGATTTTAGGAGACGTAGCGTTGGGCGGCGACAAAATAAGCGAGAGGGAAGGCCATTTCAAAGACGACTATAAGCCTGAAGGGTTCGACACCAAGAAAATATTTGTATCTCCTAGTATCCGTTATGCTGGCCATGACGCTTATGCCATGCCACACAAGTATGTATCCGTGTGTTGTATCCGTGTGGTGTATCCGTGTGGTTTTTATGAAAAGTAAACAGTGTGTGTGTGTGTGTGTGTGTGTGTGTGTGTGTGTGTGTGTAAATGTTTGTTTTAGAAGAACCCTGCTGTCAGTATAGTATTTTTCTAATGCTATTCTGATTTAAAGTAGTATCACGAAAATAATGATAAGTTTAATCATTATATTGATAATAAAAATCATTGTTATTAGTTTCATTCTTATAAAGCAGAAGTTGTCAGTTTAGTGAAGTGGTAAACATCAACATAGATTTCTAATGATTTATTAAATTACATCAAGTTTGACGCAAGAGAGCAGTAATTGAGACAAATAAATTTTCATCATTCTGCATTTTTTAGAAAATCGATGTAAAGCTACATGACAACATAAAAATTTTGTTATCCATTATCACATCACTCCAACACTGGCCTCCTCCAGAACTGAATACCATGACCTTTACTCGACGGTGACGTTTGGAGCAGATGTTTGGTCGATGACCGCGTTTTCGGTGCTCAAGCTAAGGGTGGAATGAAAATATAGATTTGTAAAACATTTAATAACCTTGGATATAAATTTGCTAATTATAAACGCACAAACTACGACGTATACCCGCCTCCAAGGTCGACGCATCCGGGAACTGCACTATTCTTTAATTCTTTTTTAAGTTACCAGTGCCTGACTCAAGGGACATTATCCAAAATTTGGTGTAAATGCAGTGATGATTTTGTCTGTGACGATTTTATTTGTGTTACTTTTTATACAAAGATTTTTTTTTTTAATTTACTACATTATCAGACAAAATTTTGTATGGAAAAATATAGACTACAGGATGCAACATTGATTTAAGCTTTTCGGCGCGTAAAATTCGAATTGTTTGATAAATGAGTAAATTCAGTTCAATATAGGACACTTCTTATGTGTCTGAAGTCTTATGATCTACTTGTACATACCGCAAGTGAATACGGTTTATTGCTGACTCAACAAAACCATTCACGAGGTCATTGAGTTCTTTTTCTGGCAGTTGTGTCAGCTCTTTAGGAATGGGCTGAATCCGTGCTGCCTTCCCTGCAATTCTACATGTAATGATTTCATGAATAACCTGGTAGACTTAGATATAAACTGTCACATGTAAAAAGTATTGCGTCCCATATTTCAAGATGAAAAAAAGCAATTTTGATAACTTACAAGTATTATACCATACGAGATATAGTCAAAGATAAAAGACATATAAACGATAAAACTATATATATATACTATATATATCACGTGAACATTAACATACATTGTAATACGTTTACCCATACTTTTGATTTTGCGAAGGATCCATTGCCGCTTTTACCGATTTTTCTCCTGTACATGGGGATTCTGAAAATAATTAAAGAAGCTTAAGCGCATCCCAATCGTCTCTTCCTTTATTTTCACATTTATTATTCACTTAACCAAGTCTAAATAAATGATTAATGTGATAAAAGTCGCATGTGAACTTAAGAAACACAAAAACAAGTAAACAAAATTAGATATAGTTTGCATTACTAAGGGCCATCCTGTAGCCTAAGAAGACATTGGAGACATTGAAGTACGTTTTGAATATATAGAAATGTGTTTCTGTACACAGCTTCAAATTAAATCTTATGACATTAAATCTTACCATTCTTTGCTTCATTTTTGCGACCACTACTCTCTATCACTCCTGTCTCTACAAATTAAAGAAAATATTGTTACGCGTGATTCTTCGTTAACTTTGGGATTTAAAAAAGTTACACAAAGACATTCGCCACACTTGATACATTTTTAAATTGTATAGTATACAATGAATTGTCACAAAGATATCATTCTAAAACAGTTAGAACAAACGAAACAACACTTGAGTAAGCGAGATTTTAGCTTGACTTTCTTTAAAAGGCGTCAAGAATTATCGATTACTTAGATTACTTACTTGAATTTATACACCCCATTGTGACGACGAAACAAATTACAAATTCATTGCGGAAAAAAATATAACACCTGTGAGGTGTCAAGAACTTGAAATTTGTTTTGTATCTAAGACGTCACAATAAGTATTATGACGTCGCGATGCATAGCTCACTTAAATTACGTCATAACGCAGCCACATGTAAACGATATTTTAATTTTAATGGGTTAAAACAAACATGATTTAATAATCTGAATGATATTTTAACCTTTTTTTGATTTATGAAGCCGTTTTTCTCATAACAGATAAATCATGCACTTTTCCCAATATTTTAGATTTGAGGTATCAGGAAAAACCTACGTGGCTCGTGTAGCACTTCAAGTGTGCATTCGCCCAGGCAGCTATGATGTCGGCGATCAAACTATCGGAGAAACCAAGCCAATCGACCCAAAGTTTGACAATCAGGAAATAGAGTGGTCAACAAAAGAGCGTGGAAGCACCATTTTGTATGGTCTGCTGGTGAAATTGGAAGAACAAGCTTCTTGAAATAGTTCATCTTAACTTTGACGGAGCTGAGAACAGTGCTTTTGACTTAATGGTGTATATTGTTTGAATGGTATTTCATTACTGAAAAGTGTCAGTTTCATACCATTTGTATTTTGTTTTATATTATGACGTGACATTTGCAGAACCAGTAGATAGCCTAAGCCTATTGTGATTGATTGTGATTGACTTCAAACGTTACGTTTACATTTAAATAATGTCTATGCGAGAAGAAAATTATTACTTTAACATGTAGCCTACATTAGGCCTACTGCCGTTTAAAGAATCAAAAACACCTATTTTCAGACCAGATTATAATTTGAAGCCATGCAGCTTCTTGCGCTTTGTATCGATTTTTCTCAACCTTTTAGAAAAGAAAATTTTACTTCGCGCCAAGTGATTTGGAGATGGTAATTACTATTTGAATCAAGAAGGCCTACTTAAATCTTTCAATAAACATCCACAAATAGGGTGCTTTCCCAGAGATTTAGATCGATCTAAAGATTAAGATTTAGATCGACCTAACTCCCTGGGGGTTCACGCTAAATTACAGTCAGCCGAGCGGGCACCATAGTTAATTACCCCCTTACAGCTTTTAGTAGGCGGGACAGACGCTTAATCCGGCCAAGCTGACAGTAATCTAGTGAGACTCCCCACAGGGATAGATCGATCTAAAAATCTATGGAAATGGGGTGATAGGCTATGCTAGTTCCCTTGCAGTAAACTTGGCTTTGTAGATTACAGACATTGGGTGAAATAATAGTGCCGAGAGACATGCTTTTTGAAACGTATTTTAATACTATTACTTTAGGCCTGTAGGCCTATATGTTACTCATTGAGTCTTGTTTCAGAGAGGAATTTTAATGTAATCCTGGACTAAAATTTTAGCCGAGCTGACTACGTCTCTCCCTGTAGGAGAGGTCAGCCGGTGTGACGGGACAGAGAATTCTCTCGTGATAGAAAGTCTGGTTCTTATTAATTTACGCATGTAAGCCTCACCCTAGATTTTGACCCACTAACGTCAGGCTAACCCTTACCTGTATAATTAAATGGAGGGTGGATTTTTTGTTACACGGACCCTCAGTTGCGTCACAACGGCCTATTAAGAAAACGGGAATTATTCTCTTTTTACTTATCTGCGCTGTTGATAAATAAAGTGTATTTAATATGTTACTAGTTTTTTCTTTTCTTGATTTTTGTCAGAAATTAATAATAAGGAGTTTTACGACTGGTTTTAGGCAGCTGAAATCGCGTCATTCTGCACGTCCTCTTACAGATTTAATCATTGCGATAGTTGAGCATCAGATTGCAAAGTGCATTGTGTCACGTTTGATTCTGAAAGGTCAAGGTTATTTTAAAAATGGCGTGGATGCGAAACACGCTGACGAAGGGTTCCAAAATATTTCAAGATCTACAGGTAATTTTTTCAGCTTATGATATAAAATTAACTTTCAATTGATTAGTTTCAAATTTTCGATGAATATGATTTTTTACATTTTTGTGAGTTAGAGCGTAATATATTTGTTATGTCAAAATTTACATGCTTTTCATGCCGGTGTGAGCCTGGTGATGGGCACAAAATTGTGTAATATTGTAGCGTTCGGTGTTACTCCTTACCCAGGTTCAGAATAAAAAATGTCCTGTCACTGAGGCATGAGAGATGGAATATAACAAAACGAAGTTTTCACATACCTCTATTTCTCTCCTCCGTCTAACTCCACTCTGTAAGTCCCCAATTTTTTAAATCCTGTCTATCTTATATACCTGTTCTGTATCTATGAGTTGAATTAAATTTCCTTTGATTGAACACAATCCCAGAAATGAACAGATTTTAATGGTATAATCAAGTATAAAGTCATGAAACGATTAAAGACATAATCCGAGTCTCAAGGTACTCCCAAAGAACCTTGGCAATATGCAGATTTTTTGTGATACTAGCATTTCTAGTGGCATTAAGATTTGGGTATTTGTGCAGTGGCACACTCCATTTCATTTTTTTCAAGGCAGTTCAGCAGACACAGTATTTTCATTCTTTATTTCAATGATATAAATGTGATGTTTGATGATGCAAAATAAATCCAAATTGAAAAACACCCAAACCCAATATAGAGGTGCATTTCACATGCTTGAAGTATCAAAAAATAAAATTGAATGAATTCGAAGTTGTATGCAGTTTTTAAAACATATATATGTATAGAATAAAAATCCACGGCTGTCTCAATTTAACATCTACATTAAGTTTTTACCATGTGTATACATTATGTAAGGAGCCTAAATTGGTGCAAAAGGAAACATGGATTTCTGTTGCTGACTGAAAAATATATTGTATTTTCATGATAGTTTGACATGTCTGATACATTATTTGGACCATGAATGGCAAATAGATTGTTTAATGCTTATTGAACTGCCAGTAGGGTGTATTTTGCCCCCTTATTTAATATTCAGTAGTAAGTAAACTGAAGTTGCTCAAAAGTTAACTGCTTTATACAGAAGATTATCATAACTTATTACCATGTAACTTTGTTATATTTGTAAGAGATAAAGAACAAAACCAGTGATGATTGAATTTTCAAAGTGGGTAAAATGTTTCCACAGCTGGACATTTTGCATTGTGACAGTAGTGTATGCTCCTTATTTGTGTTAGAAGATGAATTATTTTTATTATTCATGGTTCTAGGAGAGTGAAACTTTGATACAAACTTCTTTATTTGGGACCCTAAAATAATCAAACAGTTTATAAACTCTGCAGTAAATATTTTTAAGTGCATGCCTGTAACCTCATTCGCACCTCTATATTGGGTTTGGGTGATAATTGTTATGTTGGCTTTTAAACCCCTCCCCCTTCTTTTTTTTTTTTTTTTTTTTTTTTTTTT